CGCTGAAACTTTAAAGGTCTTTAATCATTCAGTGTGTTGGAGCCATAAACATCTGGGTTATAGAATTATTTTGAGTTTTCGTGTGTGTGTGTGTGTGTAGTGTCTTTTTCGTTTCTATTGTGATTAAAGCTATAGTGGAGGATATTTTCGAGTGAAAAAAAAAGATAAAAGCACATGACCAACCGTGTTCCCGCTCTGAGAGGGAACCCCTATTTAAGGCCTGAGGTAATTATCAGGTTTGCTTTATTTTGAAAGGCTTCCTTCCTGTTGATACAGAAGGAGGAGAACGGCACAAAGTTTGTCCCGCATCCTTTACTTTTCTAAGATATTTGATCTGTTGCCGTAACAGAAGGTTTAATGTCGTTTCTGAGTGATTTCAGCAGCTGATTGGATCTTTGTTTGGTTCTGGTTCCGAGGCTGAAACGGACCGGTTCCCACTGAGACTCCATTAGTGGGCAGCTTCCCTGCAGCTCTTATTCTGAAAGGACCTCCTGAGGACGGCGCCATGGGTTCCTAACGAAGCGGACCGTGGGGACCTACCTGTCGTGGTCCTTGTCCACCAGGTGGTAGCGGGCCCTGAAGGCCACCAGCCGGGCGTAGTAGGCGGGGGCAGGGATGGAGACGGAGCGCGTGCAGCGGACGTAGGTGTGGCACAGCTGGTAGGTGAGGAGCTGCAGTTCGTCGGCCGTGAAGCAGTTATCGTCCCAGAGGACGTGGTAGTGGGAGGGGCGGCTGGTTCCCTGAGGGAGGGGGGAGAGGGCGGTTAGTGACGGCGCGGGCTCAGGTGGGGCTGATGTACCCGAGGAAGGCGGAGCTACCTGAATGCCGGCGTGGCTGCACAGATAGAAGTCGAACTCGGACGGGTGAGTGATGGTGCTGTCCACCGTGGTTCCTGCCGGAACGTTCCCGCTCTTCCCGACCTGTGGACCAATGGCAGAGTCAGACTGGCAGCGCTAAGTGGACCAGGACAGAGCGAACCGCTCCACTCTGCTCGCACCCACCCTCTCAGCTTTGTCAGAGCAGAACAGGCGGGTGTGGTGGCGCTTCTGGACCACGATGTAGGTGATCCCGGGCCGGTAGTCCTCCTCCAGACTGATGCAGGCCTTCCTGATGGCGATCAGCTCGGGCCACGCCACCTGGAACACAGACACTTCCATAAACACTTCCTGCTGCCGTCACACGGCTCCCGGCGGCACAGACTCCGCCCCCACCTGCTTCATCTGCCCCTCAGACACGCCGCCGCGGTAATAGATGATCCGCGTGGGCTTGAAGCGCGTCGACTTGTAGAACTGGATTAGGAGCTCCCGCACCATGTTGGTCAGGTCCTGGATCACTTCCTGACTGAAGAGCTGCTCCTGCAGAGCGAACACAGGTCTGAGAATGGACCGGACCGGACTGGAACGGATCGGCCCGGACCGGACCAAAGAGGGCCAGACATGACTGGTCTGGACCTGACCGAGCCAGACCAGAGCCGGCCAGACCGCGCTGGATCTGACCGGCCCGGCCCGGCCTGGACCGGATCAGACTGGGCCGGACCTGAGATAGGCTGCGTCTAAGCTACCTGGGACATGTCCTGCCGGGACGTTTGGACCCGAACCGTCGCACAGTAGCGGCTGGGATGACCGTCCATGCTTCCCACCACCGCCGCGATGGACGGCTTCTTTCCGTCGCCTGCAGGAGGATGAGTGACGTCGGCGCCGAGGAAGATGACGGGCTGCTGGAAGACGGAGGGCCTGGAGAGGATGGAGACAGATCCGCTGGTCAGACGGCCCGAGGATCGTTCCGGGGCGTTCCGGGACTTACGCACCTCTGATGAGGAACCAGGACGTTGTTGATGCCTCCCAGCTTGGCGTTGATCTTCAGGCAGAGGTTGGACAGAGTCTGGGGGGACGTCTTCACCACGTTCTTCACCTGGACGCACTGCGTGGCCATGCCGAGGAGAGTGTCTCCCACACGCTTCACCTCAGCTGCAGAAGACACACCGCCATCATCGTCATCGTCATCACAGTCGCCATGCCAGCAGCGGGCGGCCCTCAGCTCCTACCGTAGACGGGCGTTTTTCCAGGGAGGATGACGACGATCAGCTGCAGACCCACGTAGGACATCTTGAGGTGTTTGAACATGGGCTCCACGCTGTCGGCGCCCTGGGCGTATTTACAGAAACATGGCTGACCCTGGATGGGCATCCCAGCATCCTTTGAGATCTTCCTCAGCTGGTCGGTGAAGCTCCTGGAGGGACAGAGGAAGGTTTCCTCAGAACGTTTCCTCCTCCCACAACAAACATTTCAATCATTAAAACCTGAAAACTCTGGCAGCCTTTTGCAGCGAGCCCCCTTTACTCTGATGCTCCAAATAAAACCCATCTACCTCCAGAAGGCTCTCAGAGTCCAGCTGCAGATGTTCCGCTTCTTTACGGAGCATCTGGAGCTCAGAGAGGTTCTGGTTCTAGAAGAACCACCCAGAGCTCTGATGGTGGACCTACCAGGACATGGAGGTCCACCTGGACCCACAGGACGGCTTAGATTCCTGCAGATCCGAGTTTGGAGCAGAAGAACGTTCCGGTTCTGATGCATCTAGAACCGGAACAGGGACGGTTCTGAGCCAGTAAACTGCCTCTGATTGGCTGCTCTGCAGGAAATCCCTCCTTCCTGGTTGCAGCCAGTAGCAAAATGATCCTGCAGTTTCCATAAAGCTGCTGGTATCTGCGTTTCTCACTCTGTGGCCCGTTTCCATGGAAACCGGTGATCCCATCAAATGGCCGATCAGACCCAAGATGTGATGCATAAACCCCAGGATATGTTCTGACTGGTCAGACTGGAATAATGGCGGCCGGAGCGCCGGTCAACCATGGCAGCTAACCGCTGCGGCTAGCTAAGTATTCAGACCGCATTCTGACCCCATTGGTCCAGTCGGCCATTTTATTCCATCCGTACAAACGGAACAATTTGGGTCTTTTCAAGCTTTTGTTTGTGGAAACAAAACAATTTAATTCTATTTAGTTTATTTCTATAGCTCCAATTCACATCATGTCATCTCAGGTCACTTTATAGATCCAGATCAACCAGATCATCCAGTCAGATTGATTCAAAGTTTTCTATCTAAGGGAAACCAGCTGATTGCATAGACTCACTGACTCTTCAGCAATGCTTGTAGCGACAGTGGAGAGGAAAAACTCCCTTTGAACAGGAAGAAACCTCCAGCAGAACCAGGCTCAGTGTGAGCGGCTCTCTGCTGAGATGAACCTGTAAAAGGGTCGATTCGGCACTGGAACACCTGCAGTGAAGATGAGCCGGCCCAGTTTTCAGCCTCCAAAGCTGACCCTGCCCCCCCCCAGCAGCATGCAGCACCCGGACTGGACCTTCAGGCCCGGACTCACTTGAGCAGGTCCTCCCGGCACTGTTTCTGCGGAGCGAAGCAGGCCACGGCCCACACCTTGATCTCGATGCCGGCGTAGAACTGCTTCCCTCTCATGTCCCACACGCCCTGGTTGGGCGTGGCCACCGTCTTATTCTGCGGAGAGAGTCCCTACACTCTTAGTCAACCCCCCGCTGGGACGGGCTGGTACACAAGATACAGAACCAGGACATCAGTTACATCATCAGAACATCATCCAGCAGCAGTTAGAGGAGAACATCTCCCACCGGTTCTCACAGGTTCTGGGCTCAGAACTCGGCTTAAACCCACAAACTGCAATTCAACAGCTTTAAAGGTTTTAACTGAGGGGATTGAATCAGTCGCTGATTGGACCACGAGTCATGAGCTGGTTCTGGGTGTTGGTCAGACGGTTCTGCAGCAGGAACCAAAGGTCCTGCAGCAGGAACCAAAGGTCCTGCAGCAGGAACCAAAGGTCCTGCAGCAGGAACCAAAGGTCCTGCAGCAGGAACCAAAGGTCCTGCAGCAGGAACCAAAGGTTCTGCAGCAGGAACCAAAGGTCCTGCAGCAGGAACCAAAGGTCCTGCAGCAGGAACCAAAGGTCCTGCATCAGGAACCAAAGGTTCTGCAGCAGGAACCAAAGGTTCTGCAGCAGGAACCAAAGGTCCTGCTTCAGGAACCAAAGGTCCTGCAGCAGGAACCAAAGGTCCTGCAGCAGGAACCAAAGGTTCTGCAGCAGGAACCAAAGGTTCTGCAGCAGGAACCAAAGGTTCTGCAGCAGGAACCAAAGGTCCTGCTTCAGGAACCAAAGGTCCTGCAGCAGGAACCAAAGGTCCTGCAGCAGGAACCAAAGGTTCTGCAGCAGGAACCAAAGGTTCTGCAGCAGGAACCAAAGGTTCTGCAGCAGGAACCAAAGGTCCTGCTTCAGGAACCAAAGGTTCTGCAGCAGGAACCAAAGGTCCTGCTTCAGGAACCAAAGGTTCTGCAGCAGGAACCAAAGGTTCTGCAGCAGGAACCAAAGGTCCTGCTTCAGGAACCAAAGGTTCTGCAGCAGGAACCAAAGGTCCTGCAGCAGGTGGAGAGCGAGGCTGAAGCTGGACCGACTCTGCCTCGGTTCATTATGAGGAGGCGGGATCTCTGAGCTCAATGCTGCATCAAATGATTGATTGATCTTTATCCTGAATTAATAAACATTATTTCAGTTGCTCTTAAAGTCTGATTTAACTTCGCATCTGTGCTGTGGACGTTAGTCCTTCCTGATGAACGATCTGCAGCTGCAGGGTTAGAAAGGTCTGGTCTGCAGCAGCTGGACTCACCTGCAGGTAAAACACCTGAACCTCACGGCTCACTGATGGACCAATCAGCTCCTGAGTTGCTTTGCTGGACGATTGGTTGCAGAAACACCAGAGTCATTCAGTGAATGAAGCTTCTCCCATCAGTCACACCGAGCCCAGCAGGCTGAATCTGACCGCCGTCCAATCAGGTTACGGCTTTGATTGACGTGGCTTCGGGTGGGAATGGGAAAAGCTTCCAGTCTAAAGCGTCTCACTGGGAGAGGATCGGACTGGGTCCCAGCAGAGAAGGTCCTGCTGGGTTCTGATCCTCCTCCAGTCAGAACCACATCCATCCATCCTTTCACACAGTCACTGAATCCAAACCAGCTACCAGACCCTGAGCACTGATTGGCCAGCGGGCCGCTTGGCCAGCGGGCTGCTTAGATCTGATTGGACCCATCCTGACCATCAGTAGCTGGTTTGGTTTTCAGAGGGAACCTCAGCAGCTCCTGGAGTCTCTGGCTGAATCCCAAACCGCCTCCTAACCACTACCCATCAGTCTGACCTCCAATCAGGTCTCACCTGTGGAAAGATTGAAGGGGGGGGCTATAAACATGAATGGGACAGAAAAGGAAAGCAGTCGTTGCTATGGCAACACAGTGACGCCCCATGTGCGTGGCTGGAGCTCTGCGGCGCAGGGTGACATAACCTCAAACATCTTTCTTCATAAATTAAATCTATCCGGTTAAATCCAACCTTTCATTTGGGATCAATGACGACTTGTGATTTTCCTCCGTCACTAGTTCACCGTTACACCTGCTACCAGATTCCAGAGCGCCGCTGCAGCTACCAGATCTGCTTCCTGTCAGTGACGTCACGCTGCAGGATCGGCTAACGTCGCCACATGATGTAAAACACAGTGGTTGCCCAGACGACGATAATAACATCACGCAGCGTCCGTGTGGCGAGTCGGGAGCATCTGGAGCGTTAGCGTGTTTAATAACTGTTAGACTGTGATATAAAGAGCTGGGTAGCGCTGTGGCTAGCTGTAGCTAACAGGTTAGCCTCTTTTAGCTCGCTCAGTTAGCCTGATTAAGCTACTTTTAACTTTGTTTCAACGATAACCGTTTTCTACGGGTAGAATAACTGTTTAGTCTAAAATCTCCATTTTTAGGACTTTTAATTTGACCTCCTCTGACCTCAGATCTTAATAAAATAAACTCAGACTTTTAGTCTCCTTGTTAAACAGCAGAACTCTGATTGTTTTCTATTTTCAGCTAATTTAGATCTTCAATTAAACGTAAAATAAAAGCAAATAAAGGGAATAATATGTTGAGACTCCAGAGAAGATCTGATTCTTAAGAAACGGGTAACTAGTTTGTCCGAGTGGTGTTGCCGTATGATGACGTGATAGGAAGGGGCGGGGCCCCGAGCAGATCCGGTAGCTACAGCGGCACTGATTAAGGGCTCCGCCCACTATGTGGTTTGGTACGGCCCTTGATGAGGCGGACCCTCAGCAGGAGCCCAGGGTTGGTGTTTAGGGGCCAGTTTGGGATCCAGCCTTCTTCTCTCAGCTTGATGTTCCTCCTGTGGCCACCAGGGGGCGCAGGGAAACCGGAGCAGAGCTGAGAGAAGCTAACGAGCGCTGAGGACCAAAGCAGGAGGTTCCAGGTTTCACAGACCGAGGCGCCTTTAAAGATCTGCACTGAACCCCTGGAAGCCCCCGATGACAGCATTCAGCCTCCACTGCCCCCCCACCCCGTGCAGCCCCTGCCCAGTACTCACCCTGCCACAGTCCCTCCCTGTGTCTGTACTCACCCGGCCCCCATACTGCAGCATGGGCGCAGGGAGGACACGCCCCGTCACCTCCGTCATGTCGTTGTGCACGACGATGCCGAACTCCTTCAGGTAGGGGTCCGGGCCCCCGACCATGCTGTTGCTTTTGACCTGAGGAAGAGGAGGCGGGTTAAATCTGGCCGAGCTCAGCTGGGCGGCGCCTGGGGGGGGGGGGCCTCACCAGGCGGCTGATCTCCTCCTGCCTGTCGGGGGCTGAGCGAGCCGTGGCTTTGATCATGGTGGACGTCTGGTTGTCTGTGAGCTTCTTGATGCAGCGCTGACCCGCCACGATGTTACAGACCTTCAGAACAGGAAGCAGAACTTACTGACCCGCCGGACCGGCTGGGGGGGGCGGAGACTACGCTGCGTTTTCTCACCTCCAGAGGAAGGTAGGTGTGCTTCTGTTCCTGTCCCACCTGCAGGCAGGGCAGGTGGGGGTACTTGAGCTGCAGGCTGTACTTCTGTTTGAAGTACTGCGCCACGGTGCACTCCATGGCCTGGCCGTTCTCCAGCTGCAGCGGGAACCTGAGGGCGAAACAGCCACGCTGACGGGCCATGAACGGCAAACGCAGGATGGAGCAGGGCGGCGCTTACGTTTGGTGGCTGGCCGGTCGGCGCGTCACGTTGCAAACGCGGTACTTCCTCTTCATCTGCCCGCAGTGGGTGACCTCCACCTTCAGACCTGTTCAGAGCGGCGACAGCGGATCAGGAACCTCATCCAGACGGAGCGACGAGCACGCCGCCCGGTTCTGATGCTACGCTCAGCGTCCCTGACTGGGTCCGCTATACAAACACAATCTGATTCCTCTCCATTTCTGAGCAGCTTTAGATGTTTCCCAGTAAACCAGCAGAAGCTTCAGCTGGACGATAAGAAGAAAACCTAACAGAACCATATATCTGGGCTTTAATTGCAACAGAACCGATTGTCCCAGTTCCTCTGAGACCCTCATGGCCTCTTAGAGACATAGAAAGACCATCTAGGCTTCCAAAGTTCTTTCATTAAAGGTTTCACACGATAATAAGCAATAACATCAAAGTTTGAAAACAACATTTCAGTTAGAAGTGGCAGAGGACACCTAGTGGCAGAAAGTGGTAGTGCCACTGGCCACTTATTGGCTTTATGAAGAATAGAAGGTAGTTTAATAGAAATAACATCACAATATTATCTGCTTAGAGGTTATATAGCTACTATCAACAAATCATTTGACGAAAAATGGCAAGAAACTAAATGAAAAAAATAAGTTATTTGCCGACAAACATCAAGAAAAAAATTATAAATTAACAAAAAAACGGCAAGGAGAATAAATAAAAAATAAAATAAGTTATTGAATGAAAACCGGCCTCTCCAGCCCCTAAAACGGCGTCAGTAAAGCTGGGAGTCGCTCAGGCGGGCAGCTGGCAGGACAGCCGGACTGTCACCATGGTGACCGATGGTGGCCACTTATTGGCAGATAAACTACTTCGTTCCATCAAGTAAATGTGACATTATAAAAGTTTTAATACAGGTTATTAAGCAATAACATCACAATATAAAAAAAATCTGCTTAGAGGAACTAATAATAAGTTATTTGCCGAAAAACGGAGAGAAAAATAACGTTTAGTTGATGCGGGAGAAGCTGACCTGCAGAGTCTAAAACACGCTTCATTCTGCAGCCGATTCATGTTTAGGTCAGGGGTCACCAACCTTTTTAAGGCTGAGGGCCCCTTCAAGGGTACTGAGTCATGGGAAGGGCTACCAACACTGACCCAGGCACAGCAAGGGTCAAGGGTCACCTAAACTTCATTATACATTATTAACATTTTTATGTTTCCTTTGTCTAAAATACAATTAGAACTTATTGTCATTTTGAACGGATTTATAAATTATTAAAAAAGGAGAGAAACAGAATAGAAGAACATTTCAAACTTAGCCCACTGGTGAATTGTTCTTTTCTTAGAAGTCTGAGGGCCCCCCATGTGGTCCATGAGGGGCCCCTTGGTGCCCGCAGGAACCACGTTGGTGACCCCTGGTTTAGGTGCTGCTGCCGTTTGCAGCAAGTCTTACAATTTAGCACCTTTTGTTCGACGTCCTCTAAAACCGGAATAAACTACGATTTTTTTGCCCTTTTCAGGCAGATTTTCCAGTCAGGTGAGACTTTTTTGGGTTTTCTGACCTGCAGCATCTCAGCTACTGATGGAAAACGGGACGAGTCCATCAGATCAGACAGGAGCAGCGATGCTGTCTGATGTTCTCTCTCACCTGTGACCCTCTGCCTGACCTTATAGAGGCGCCGAGGCCCGGTTCCCTGACCCAGTGGACCCAGTTCTAACAGTAACCCTGATCCTGGCTCCTCACCTCGTATCTCCTTGGTGAACTTGACCCTCTGTGAGTCCGTGAGCGGCTTGGTCTGCTCGTTGATGTTCTGGATGTCCAGCACCTCGCACATGAACTCGATGACGGGCTGGGCGCGGTAAAAAGCGGTGGCCGACACTGTGGGAGGAGCAGAGACGTTAGCGAGCCCAGAACCAGAACCGCCACAGTCCTGGTCCCTGAACCAACAACCCGCACCGTGGCGGTCCACTGGCTGCACTGCAGGAAGGCCACGGGTTGGATCAGCTTACCGTCGATGTTGAGCATCATGTTCCACATGGCGGGTCGGACGGACTGGTGGAAGCCGAACCACACCTCCCTGCCTCCACCCAGGGGGTGGTAGTAGCCCTCAGGAGGAGAGAAGAAGGAGCGTCCCACAGGAGTGTACCTGGGAGGGAAACACGGGCCGTCAGAACATCCGGACACGAGGAGACCTTCAATGGAAGCCTGGGAGCCGTCACGCCATTGGCGACTGGAGTGCCGCTCCGTCCATTTTGTGTCTGACGTAGACGAGTCGTCCAGGTCTGACTAGTTATGGCGGAAAGACAGAATTCATCTACAGCTGATGGTGGAGAACCCAGAGGGCCGCTAACCTTCCCTCACGGGACCCGGGACTCTCGGGGGCCACCCGGGACTCTCGGGGGCCACCCGGGACTCTCGGGGGCCACCCGGGACTCTCGGGGGCCACCCGGGACTCTCGGGGGGCCACCCGGGACTCTCGGGGGGCCACCCGGGACTCTCGGGGGGCCACCCGGGACTCTCGGGGCATTCTGGCTGAGAACCTTGGACGATGAAGTTTCCTCTTCTGACGACGAGCAGAACGCAGCATGAAAGCAGAAGAATCTGTGGTTCTGCTGCCGATGTTCTCCTCCTCCCCCTCAGAACCACAACCCAACCCAGCATGGGGACCAGCTGGCTCCATGAGGTCGGTTCTCCTCTGGACCAGAACCAGAACCATCTGATCACAGTTAGGTTCTGGAACCTAGGAAGTCAGAATCCAGTCCTGGAGGTCCGGATCAAACCACCAGGTCCTTAGCAGAAACAGACTGGACCAGGGAGAGCGGCGCCATCTGGTGGTCCCACAGAACCAGCAGGAACCCAGACAGTTCCTGGATGCTGGACTTTCCTTCTTTATAACAGGAGGCGCTAACTAGCTTAGCCACATTAGCGCTTCATCTAAAAGCATCAAATATAGATGAGCACCAGCAGGACGCCGTTTGGGACGGATAATACCAGAACTTCTGAGGTTCCAGGTCTTTATTCGCCTTTAACCCTGGCAGCGGTTCTGGACGTTCAGTGGGACGGTCAGAGAAAAAGCTGGCGGGTTATGCGGCTCGTTTGGACCCAGCTTACCTCATGGAGGGCAGGTGGCGCGTGATGACGTCCAGAGCCTGAACAGAATCCTCCGGAACCTCGTTCAGGTGACCCGACAGAGCTTCCAGCAGCATCTGCAGACTGACCACAGACACCCACTGCAGCGACACCTTGAAGGTCTGATCCTTCCCCTCTCCTGGCAGCGTCACCTCCAGGTCCACCTGAGCAGAGACCCGGCAGAACGTTAAGAACTCAGCAGAACCAGAACCAGAGCTGCTGCTGCTGCTTCGTCAGCAGAACCTCAGACCCAGCATCTGGGCTTTGGGTCAGAACCAGAGTCCAGGGACCAGAAACCCACCCGGTCCCGTCCGATAGGCAGCGGATGAGCCGTGTACATGTTCCTCTTCCCGTCGTAGCCCGGCTGCCGGTCTCCAAAGATCTGCATCTTGAAGTGCCGCACCATGGTGTCCACCACCTCCCTGGAAGACAGACGGACCATCAGAACCGAGCCGGTCAGACCCGGCCCCCCCCGCGCTCCTCCCACACCCACCTGTTGACCCGGCGGGGCCGTTTCTCCGGCTTGATCTCGATGTCGTAGTGATAGACGTCAATCTTGGGGATCTGCACCTGGAAGTGGTTGGCGAGGAGCCGGATGGGTTTCCCCACCGTGCCGAGGCCGGGACGCCGCGGAGGCTGGAAGAGAGAGGCGGGGGCAGGCGGGCCTGGAGGGGCAGAACAGAACAGTCAGCGCAGGCCCGGTTCTGACCCGGACGCTCAGCAAGAAGCTCCAGAAACGGGGAGCAGGAAGTCATCTGGCTGAGGAAAGCTAACGGGTTCTGTTCTGTCCGGGTTCCAGTCTGGTTCCAGTCCGTGTTCTGTCCTGGTTCAGTCCGGGTTCTGTCCGGTTCCAGTCCGGTTCTTCCCTCTGAAGCTGAAACATTCAGAAAGTTCTGGATTATCTGGATCGGTGCTGATCGGTGAGCAAACAGACACAACCAGAAAAACCCAAACGGACAGAAAACCGCTCCAGATGAAAAACTCTTCTGGTTCTGAAAACCAGCTTTAATGTCATCGGATCGGAACCAGAACCAGAACCAGACCGTCAGGAACATCCCTCCCCCCAGCAGGGCCATATGGAGGGATGAGCGTCCCTCACTCTGCTAAGTTGACGCTCCAGTTAGCACAGACAATCAGACCCCCGCCCCCCCCCCGCCCCCCACAGCTAACGAGCCGGACCCCCGATTCCAGCCGCCGTGTCCTGCTGGCCTGGTTACCCATGGCAACCCATCCCTTCTGTTGCTCCGCCCAGAACCAGGACGCCGCGGTGGACGTTCAGCACCAACGACCTTCTTCTTCCTCAAACAGGAAGCAGGGATCAGCTAAGCCCTAAAGAACGGACCGAGCCGAACCAGAACCCAGAGCAGAATGGGGGGGGGGGGGACTCCCCTTCGCCGTTCCCTCTGACCTCTGACCTTCTAAACACGTCAGAAACGTTTGCTTCTGTCTTTTCTGAGGCTCAAGAATCAAACGTTTGCTTCCAGGACTTGTGGGCGGGTCTAAAGGGGGCATCAGGTTGTCATGCATCTGCCTTCAGCTTAGGCCCCGCCCCCTGCTGGCATAAAAACAGCAAAGTTGCCGTCATTCATATTTCGGACCTTTTCAGACTCATCTAGCTACTTTTTTTTTCTCCCCCATAGAAAGCGACCAATCTATAGACTTTAGCCGTCATGTTGATGACATCATAGATCGCTTCCGAGCTTAGCGTCTGTAGCTAACGGTTAGAGAGCGAGCTCCTCCATCCGACGCTGCAACCTGCTGCTGGATGCATTGATTGGAGGCGGTGGAGGCGGTGGTTCCTCCGGCTGAGGGAGCATCCAGGAGGAGGTGCTGATCTAGTTCAACAGTCACTGATTAAACTACAGGCTGATGGTCTTTGATTCAGCCGCTGAGGAAAACTGAGCTGTGAGAAAACCTGGATCAGAACGACTTCAACTGGAAAAGATTTAGTTAAAAACGCAGAAACATGATTTGCTGTCGAGAGCGACTCAGACGGCAGACAGAGTTTCACACAAATCCAGCAGATCTGAGGTAGAGCGGAGCTCCTGACGTTCCCATTATGCTTCTCTACAGGTGGAAAAGCTCCAGCATTGTTAAACTAAAGCGTTTCCTGAACTGATCAACCCTGAAACTCCCGACTGCAGAAGCCAGAGCTGCCAGGAAGCAAAGCTGAGCCGCTTCATCTTCCCCGTAAGTAAAGAATAGAAGCTGTTAGAGGGAGAAGACTTCACCTGGAGACCAAATCAGTCAATTTATTGAAGAAAGGAAACGGCTAATAGATCCGCTTCTCTTCCAGGATCCGAGCGCCTCTGGGACGCACTGATGTCTGGGATGGCGACCCCGGGAGGGCGCAGCGACCCCGGGAGGGCGCAGCGACCCCGGGAGGGCGCAGCGACCCCGGGAGGGCGCAGCGACCCCGGGAGGGCGCAGCAACCCCGGGAGGGCGCAGCGACCCCGGGAGGGCGCTGGGGGATGGCGACCCCGGGAGGGCGCAGCGACCCCGGGAGGGCGCTGGGGGATGGCGACCCCGGGAGGGCGCAGCGACCCCGGGAGGGCGCTGGGGGACGGCGACCCCGGGAGGGCGCAGCAACCCCGGGAGGGCGCAGCAACCCCGGGAGGGCGCTGGGGGATGGCGACCCCGGGAGGGCGCAGCGACCCCGGGAGGGCGCTGGGGGACGGCGACCCCGGGAGGGCGCAGCGACCCCGAGAGGGCGCTGGGGGACGGCGACCCCGGGAGGGCGCTTGGGGACGGCGACCCCGGGAGGGCGCTTGGGGACGGCGACCCCGGGAGGGCGCTTGGGGACGGCGACCCCGGGAGGGCGCTGGGGGACGGAGCAGCAGTCGTCCTCTGTGCCGCGTTTGTTGACAGGAAGTGGACTAAACAGACGTCTTTACTCTGTAGTTGACAATGAATGAACTCAGAGTTCAGAGGTTTCCTTCAGGCGTTCAGTGTCTGAATGGCTGCAGCTGAACTGGAACAGGACCACCGACTCCACCTCCATGATGCCCCTCCTTCCTCCACAGGTAATGATCACAATACATTCTCCTCATGGAGCGTTTGGAGATCAGCCACCATCATGCACATGTAGCCGCCTGGACGGCGTCCCAGAGGAGCAGATGTCCAGCAGACAGTGAAGAGCTGAAGGCCGCCTGGGAGTGACCACCTGGTCCCTGCGGTCCAAACGTCTCATCCCGTCCTTTTGGGTTCCCCTTAGGCTTTGAAAACATATCCACACTCAAGCCAAGCATCCGTATAAAATACTGATTGGTAGGGGTGTAAATAATAATCGTTTTGAATTGATGCATCGATCCAACAGCCGACGATCCGATGCATCCACACGTCCGCAAGATAATCGATTCATGTTTTTTTTTTCCTCCGGTCTATTTTTATCCATTTGCTCCTGGGCGTAATTCTCCTCCCGTGCTGCGGTGCCGTTAAACCTATTTTGCCCTCCTACCTCACTTCCTGGTTATACTCTTACAGCAGTGTGTTGCAGTGAGCTTGACACAGACATTTTTAAATTATGCTCAATATTGAAGCGTGGTCTGTGCTACACGCTGTGGGTCTAGATCCGGCCGAGGCAGTGAGGAAGTGGGGGCAAGTTTAGTCCGACGACGGAGGGACATGAGGGCCAAAAAGAGCGGAGATCCAGGTGGAAAAAGGGACCCAGCGTTCTCGCGCACCTCGCTCTTCTAGCGGGTCAAACTTCACGAGTTGTTTTCCGCAATTTCGGTCATAAAAACAAAACAAGCCGGCCTCCTGTCTGCGGCGCTGTCTGCGGTCAGCTACAATCTGGGAGAGGAGCAGCAGAGCGTCTGTGGAGGGGGCGGTGACGTCGACACACTGGAGCCTTCTTCTTCTTCTTTTTTTTAATGGCGGTTGGCAAACAACTTATAGGTGCATTACCGCCACCTTCCAGAATGGAGTATGGACCAGACAAACTATTATATTCTCCCTAAAATACCCGTTCTTCTTAGAAAATTAAAAATACTACCAAAAACTACATCCCCAGATGACCTTTGAAACAATTCCCTTATATGTAGTTTATTTTTATTCCTGTCTAACTCTCTACGCAACATCTCTCTTTCCTGAGTATATTTATTACATTCTAAAAAAATATGTTGGACAGTTTCTCTGGAGCAGAGGTATTGCATTGAACTCATTACACTGATTTTCTGCAGTATTTTTGCAGTATTTTTTGATGCAACTTTTCTACTTCTGTTATTTGCTGTTGTTTCTAAAGAAAATGCATAATGATATTACAGCTTTCATTGATTCATTTCAAACTTGAAACTTTGTTTAGCCTGTAAGGTGTAAAAAAAAAATAATAATAATAAAGGAAAAATTTAACCGATTAATTGAATCGAATCGTGGTGTATTCTTGAGAATCGAAAATAATCGAATCGTTGGGTCAGGAAATCGATACTGAATCGAATCGCCATGATGGATGTGATTTACACCCCTACTGATTGGTTGTCATGGTATCGGTACTAAAGACAAAGGTTAGCATTTATCTGCAGATTTCCATTTTAGATTTCTGGATTTGTTTTTGTTTTTTTACTCTTTACAAGAAAAATAAGGCAGGAAACCTGAAAATATCAGATGTGTTCTGTTTTTATTTTGAATCACCTCAATAACTGTTGTTCTGTCAGACCAGCATACCCCATCAGACCAGCATACCCCATCAGACCAGCATACCCCATCAGACCAGCATACCCCATCAGACCAGCATACCCATAAACAAGACACATCCACAAGATGTCTGACTGGCATTTATCCCTTTAGTTTTGTATGAAAAATAGACTTTAAACGACCTAAATTGAATCCCTTTAGTCATGGAAAAAACACCATTTAAAGGTCAGATCGCCATACGCCTCAGAAAACACCACAAAGTAATTCAATTGGTTTTTTGTACGTAAATAAAGGGATACATGGCTGTAAAAGGTATAAACGGTATTGACTGTGCGTATGCTGGTCTGACGGGGTATGCTCACCTGACAGAACACTGTCAGTGATTCTGATGAGAAAGCACACTTTTATGTTGATAAAATACTTTATGCCTTTAATTAGTGGCGTTTTTTTTACCAAAAAGGTGTGTAGTGTCGTACTTTCTGGGGTAACGATGGAGTTTAAAGCGTTCTATAACCCAGACCCTCTTCCTTTAATGGTTGTTAATGGTTATCCGCAGACGGCGGCCATGACTTCAGTAACCGATGGCATCGTTGACTCAGGGATGAAAGCTCCAAACAAACTCATTCATTCTGACTTAAATGAGACTTTTTATCTGAATCCATTAATTATCCGTTCAGATCATCACAGGTTGGATTTTCCACACGCTTCCATCAATTTTCCTCTTTTCACTTGTTGATCTTTCTGAGTGTGAAGCGAGTCATTTTCACTAAACGCTGTTTTCACTCGTTTCTGCAAAGATTAACTCAGGAAACAAACTTCCTGTTTTCAGAAGCAGATTCAGGATTAATCTGCAAAACTGATCAGATTTATTGGATCAGGGAGTTTAATCAAAGGTTGATCATTTCAGCAGAAACACATAAAACTGCTAAAGTTTTTATCTTCCTTTAAAATCTTCATATAATATTTCCTCTAAACTATTTAATGTAACTAAAAGATTCAACTCAAATAATGAAAATGATCCAATAGTTCAGCTCAGAGGCATTAATGCACAGAAATGGAAATATTTACAAAGGATGTTTTAAACATTTTTCACTATTTTATTTTTCAAATAACTCTAAATAATGAAATGCATTAATGTAAATAAATTATCATCACTGATGGTTCCTCCAGCCAATCAGGGAGCTCAGCTCATTACTATTATGGATTCATTAATTAGCTGATATTATTCTGGGGGGGGGGGGGGGGGGGGGCACCCATGAAAACATCAGATTTTAGGTCTGATGATCAGACCTTTCCACGCACCGAACCGCACCGCACTGCTGCGTGTCTTTGTTTTCGTCGAGACGCGGATGATGGAGCCCAGCGATCAGCGCGCAGTTCGTCCACCGCTGCTGAGCGCGTGGCTGCGGCTCAACGAGGCGCGTGAACCGATGACAGCCCCGCACTAAACAACGAGGCCAAAAACACGCACGTCCGCTCGGTCCCACGCAAGACACGCGACGTGTTTCGATTTGATTTTCCTCCGTCACTGAGACGTCTTCTGTCCCCGTTAGCGAAATAGAAATTTAAGAGATTTTCAGGCGATATTTTTGTAAAGAAAAGAGAGAAGGAGGCAGCGGAGGAGGAGCAGCGGAGGAGTAAACACGGCGTGAAGGAGGAAGGAAGGAAGGAGGTCCCAGCAGTTAAATCCCCTCCGACACACAAAGCCAGCAGCTCCGCTCGGAGCGCCTCCACAGCTGGAGCTACAGCCTCCACCTCCACGAACGCTGCCGGGGGCCCCAAGCTCCGGGCCCCAGGGACGCATCCATGGAGGCCTAGCTTCAGCCTCGGCCCCCAGTGAAGCGCGCCGCCTCCCGCCCACCGTCCGCTCCTCCGCAGTGTGGGCCCAGCCTTACCTGGTCCGAGAGCTTCCATGGCCGAGGCCTCTCTCTCCGTCTCTGTCCCGGCCTGGCGGCTCCGTACCGAGGCTGAAATTGGGGGCGGTATGTCGAGGCTGGAGGGGTCTGATTTAAGAAAACTGGAAACGGACGCTGAGCTCCGCTGCGCTCCGCTGGCTGCTGCTGACGGACTATCACACAGCCGCTGCTACTGCGCTTGCGTCACTTACAGCCCCGGAGCCCACAGTGCGCATGCGTCACTCTGAGCCCCTGAGCCAACAGTGCGCATGCGTCACTTACAGCACAGGGGCCCGTAGTGCGCATGCGTCACTTACAGCCCTGGAGCCCGTAGTGCGCATGCGTCACTTACAGTACAGGAGCCCGCAGTACGCATGCGTCACTCTGAGCCCCGGAGCCCACAGTGCGCATGCGTGAATTGGTTGTGGCGCACTTTAAAAATCCAACCTGCTGATCCGATAAAAAGAAGAGCGTAGTAATAATAATTGATCGTAAATCAACAAATCTTCAACAAAGACATTATTTATGTTACAGATTTATTGGATTATAACAGCGATATTTTTGTTTTAATATGATGTAAATTGTTCTCTAAGAGGACATAACAATCTGTGTAAATCGATTCCACCGCCGTTAATTCATTCATTAAAAATTCCAGGTTAAATAATAATTACCCACCAACTTTTTGATTTCACATCTGCTTGATAAGAAATCTAATAAATTCATTAACAGTTTATTGAAAGCCAGAAAATATCCTGATTATGATAGATTTAGTTGGAAAGATATTCCTGTTAGCTGATAAATGGCCTATTCTACCTTTAATCAAAGAAACACATTTTAAAGTTATAAACAACATTTATCCTGCGGCAGCATAAAAAAAAAAAAAAGAAAGATTTGGTTTTTAGGTGGATTAATGTTCCTTTGATAATAATAAGACTGGGTGACACCCAGGCTCTGAACTGAAGGCAAACTGAGCTGCTGCTGATGGAGGTGGCGAAGCTAAAGTCTGGATTATTGGAGCCAATAAAGCCAATCCCTGTTTCAATCCAAAGTCATAAATTATATAAAAGCAAGCTAAGTCAGAATATTCTAGCTAATTAAGTTAATTAAAACTAAAACATGAAACTATAAAAAATACAAATTAAGTCAAATGAATAACATCTGAAAGTATAGTGTTGGTATTTAGAGCATCCATAGGAAGCTGTAATACAGTTAGAAACAACAACCTTAAAAACAAAATGTGAATAAAATAAACGAGAAAAAACTAATGAATAAATGCAAATTATCTAGTAAAATAAATCAAATGGATAATTAAATCATCATAAGTAAAGAGCAACACTGACGTTTGCTGCAACATTAATGAGACTATTGACACTTCAACTACAAACATCTAATTTATCCACCTCAAGCAGCCTTTATTATTATAATAATTATTATTATTATTATTAAATGTTTACACTTTTTAAAACAATATTCTTGTTAGATAGTTTATTGCACATTCGTTACAATAACAGCTTCAACATTATAGTAACTGTTCTTGTTCTCACCACTAGATGTAGCTGTGGAGCTGTCAACGCCATGTTAAGCCTTTATCCTATCAGACACATGTGGACCAAAAATTTGGGTCCTCAGCACTCGCCCCTACAAGATCAAGTGTCCAAGAGGTTATTCAGAATAGAATAGAATAGAATAGAATAGAGTAGAATAGAATAGAATAGAATAGAATAGAATAGAATAGAATAGAACATCCCATTATTGTCCCACTGTGGGGAAATTGTGGGAATATATCAGCAAAGGTTTTCACACAAATGTGAACCTTAAAAAGTGTATAAAAGTAACAAAATAAGTGACAGAGTTAAAAAAAAATAGACAAAATAAAATACAACCAAAGTATAAATAATCAATAAACAGCTGTAGTGGATATGTGAAATTAGCAGAAACACCAGAGAAGAGCAAACAAGACTGCAGCAGGTTATTTAAGACAGAAAGTATCATTTTATATCCTTGGTTGTTTTAACTCAACATTTTTTGTAGCATTAATGGAGACAAATAGTAATGATTTAATATTTAAATCATGATTAGACAATAAATGTGTTGTTAGATGGAGGGCCTTTTCAAAGCTTCCAGATCTGGCGTGGTTAAAAACCTGAGATTAAATGTAAATAATCTGTAGTTATCTGTAATCTGTAGCCCAAAGCATTCCCCGCTACATGCACACATTGACAGAGTGATGCTAACAGACCCAATATTTCACTAATTAATAACCACTGAGATCAATAAGGAGAGATAATGTTTAGATGCTCCGTGAAAATAGTAAATCAGCCAGTGATGCTCCTTAAGGGAAAGATACTTAAAATGTTCCTGATGGTTATGAACGCTGGATTATTCTACTTACGGATTATGGACACCATCTGGTTACTACAATAACAAAAAAAACAAAAAAAAACATTATTTCTCAGGGGAAAGAAAGAAACAGATTATAGGAGGAGACTAGAACTGACTGCTGTCCTCAAAGGAAAGTCAAAGACTCACAATCTTAGACATTTAAAATCCAAATAGAATCTCCCTAAGAGGTCTAATAGGTTTTTACTTATATCAAATGTCTTAACTAACAAAGAGGGATTTCTTTCTTCATTTCTTTGAAATGTTTTGATGGTAAAATACTCTCCAAACATTTGGAAATGAAACTACTGTTAAAAAAATAGATAATATATGTTATTGACGGTAAATGGTAAACATTTATAATAGAAATTGCCGCCTCTAATTAACAATAAGCCAAAAACTTATGTCTGGGTTATTTTTAGCTACATTGTTGACACCTGTCAATCAGGCTTGTTGTTATAGTAACAATGTTAGTACCGCGATTCTGGCAAAGTAACTGATTTGTTTACATGTAGCTGTGCATCATTATCACTCATTCTTCCACCTGTGCAGCTCCACCACGTCTCATTAGTGCTCATCACCTGCTGTCCTGCATATTTAACCAGACATCAAACTATTTACGGTTGCCAGATTATTAAAAGCCTCACAATGAGTCGATCTCAAGCGTTCCTTCCATGCCTGATTTCCTGATTCTGATCTTTTGTCTCATGGATTCCACTCCTTTGCTTCGACCTCGCTGGACTTCTCTGATTTCTGGACAGCGACCTGGTTTTACCTTCTGACCAGCGGTTCTCTCCTTCCCCTTGGATACATTAGCCTGATTCTAACCTGCTGTTTTCCCAAGACGTAGAGTCAGCCCCTGAGTCCCTGGTCGTTACTCTGTTCCTGTGAGCAGTATGCTCTCCCTCAAAGCAGTACAAGCCACCAGCAACGTCACCACTGAACCCAGTTCAGCCTCGTCATTCCCACATGATTCTGAGAAGGTAGATGGCTTTAGTTCTGTTTGCTCCTTTAACACTGAGATCTGCCCAAGTCACTAACCTGATCTTTCCTGTTCCCACTGCTGATCGGGTTCCTGGTCAATTTATTGTTGATTCTTTAAACGCTTCTGATTGGGTCTGGTTAAATACTGGGTCTTCAGTTTGGTTCTCAGCTGGGCTGATTCTGGACTTTGATTTCAGATCAAATGTTTATAGACTGTATTATATCCTCTAGACCAGAGGTCATGGATTAGCAGACCACGGTCCGGATCCAGACCCACCTGCTGGCTAATCCAGACCCAACCTGATTTAAAACATTTATAAATTACCGCATGTTGTCTGATGTCTAACTTCACTTGCTCAGCTTCTCCTGTTAATACGGTAAAGCGGTAAAATTCTCCACCATGAACAGAATCAACAATAAATCTGGATCCAGGCTCAAAATGAGCTCCTTGATATGTGCTTGAGAATGGCTTAGTCTCCGGTTAAACCCAGGTTTAAAGCCTTGCAGGGCAGCCTAAAGCCCACTGCCAACATTAAGACAGGAAAAAGAAAGAAAATAACAAACCATCAGTTCAGGTGGTTGATAAAATATGGGAATCAGGAAGTCGTCTATGAACCAAACTGAACGATTGTTGTTCTCCACTTCAAAAACAGTTTAGATTTTAAAATGGAAAAATGTTCAATCTATATCATGGATGCATAAAAAGCTGCTTTTTATTTCAGTGTTAAATTCTGTTTAAAGTAACGGCGTGTAAATAAAAAAGTTTCCAGACCTTTACTGGTTGATGATTTTCTTTATTTGGAGACTTAATGACTAAAATTAGACTCAAACTAATAGTTTTTGTCCTGGAGACTAAATCCAAGATGGCCGTGAGTCAATCTTTAATTGGTTACCCGTGTTCTAGAGTATTTGGGCTCACTTTAACATAAAACATTTTCCTTTTTTTTTTGTAGGGTTTCATCAAGAAACTGAAAATGTTCCTATCAGGCAAAACGCAACCTGTTTGGTGAATAACTTCCCTTTAATCCCTGGAAGGTCTTGGGTTTGATTCCCAGCATCCGGTCTCTCTGCATGGAGTTAGCATGTTCTCCCTGATCATGTGTGGGTTCTCTCTGGGTACTCCAGCTTCCTCCCACAGTCCAGAAACGTGACTGTGAGGTAAAATGGCGTCTCTAACTTGCCCTTAGGGTTGGTGTCTCTGCCAGGGTGTCCGCCTGTCCTCCATTCCTGCTGGAGATACAAACCAGCTCATCCTGACAAGCAGAAGAAGACGGATGGATAAAACAACTTGTAATTTAATTAAAGTTTAATATATTGTTTGTAACATGTTGCTACTTTAGGGCCAGTTGCAAATGTCTCCTAGGATTTAGATGCAAATAGTGAAAAATTATTTCTCTTTGGTTAACTTTAAATGGTTTTGACTATTAACCCATAAATATAAGTTAATTTTATGTAAATAAATAATCCAAATCATGTCTGAGTTACAGAGTCAAATATGTTGTAACTCCCCCTACATTGCTTATGTAAAAATGTAAAATATACTAAAAAGTTCTGTCTTATTTGATGTTTTTTAATGAAGTAGATAAAGTTTTATTTTGTGAGCTGCATCCTTTCCGTTCTTAGTAGTTCTGCAGACTGAAACATCAAAGAACCGATGTTTATAACATTAAAACTCACATAAAATAAACATAAATAAAAGTTATTAAAAATATTGTGTTTCCGAATCTGCTCAATGTCGGAAAAACAAAGCAGTGATTATCTTTTAACTTTTAACTTTTCTTTCTTCTTTCTTTCTTTCGCGCTGCTGTAACGTATGACGTCACAGGAGGCGGGTAGAGGAGTCTAAATCTGACCAATAGGAGAGGAGGTTTGGGTGAGGCAGTTACATGAATGTGGTTTATACGAGTTGCTGCACTTGCCCTTGGGAAAGGGGAGTCGGTCGGATGTGGATGGTCGTTTGGTGCATGGCGCGTGTTTTGAAGCTGCTTATGGAGAAATGTCTTGGGCCGTGAGTAGTGAGGAAACAGGAAGCGATTCTTGTGGGATGGAAGAGGGAAATAGTGACAATGAAGGGTGGAAGATAGCAACATCAAAAAATGAGAAAAAGCGGAAAAAACAGAGATCAGTTCAAGGGGAATCTAGTTCAGAACAATCCAGTGATGATCATTCCATACATTCCACAGCACAACAAAATGAATTCAAAGTCATATTCAAAGTCGTTAATCAGGCAGACTCTTTTACAAATTGGAATCCGGTTCACTTAACAAAAACCATCAATAAACTTGTCGGAGAAGTCAGAGGTGCCAGAATTCTGTACAGTGGAGACCTGCTAATTAACTGCAGAGACAGCGCCCAGCAAGGCAAAGCAATACGGATCAACAAAATTGACGGGATAAGAGTTCAGTGCAGCCTAATGGAGAACAAAAAGATCAGCAGGGGAGTCATTGGAGGAGTTCCTCTAAAAATTTCTGAAAAAGAGATTCTGGAAAACATAAGCGGTGCAAAAGTAAAAGAAGTAAAACGGTTAAAAACAACAAGAAACGGAGAAAGATCTGACAGTTTATCAGTGCTAATTAAATTTGAGGAAGAGCAATTACCAAGCAAAGTATTCATCGGTTACATAAGCTATAATGTCAAAATCTACAATCCTCCACCATTGAGATGTTTCAAATGCCAAAAATTCGGTCACATTGCAGCAGTTTGTAAAGGGAAACAGAGGTGTGGAAGGTGTGCAGGAGAACACGAATATGGTAAATGTGGAAAAGAAGCTATAATAAAATGCTGTAATTGTGGTGGAGAACATACTGCTGCTTATCGCGGCTGTGAAGCAAGCAAAAGGTCTGAGGAAATTAAAAAAATGAAATTTGAGCTCGGAATAACCTACGCTGAAGCTGCAAAAAGGATCCCATCTCAGTCAGAAAAACCCAAACCTACAGTTCAACACACGGCAAATTCCAAACCTCTAGAGAATCAAAAAATTGATGAAGACTCACTAATTGTTAAAAAGACAAATTTTGTTCTTTTCATGGTAGAAGTAATTAATTGTACTGCACAGACAACAAAAAAAACGGAAAAAATCAAAATAATAGTGAAGGCTGCAGAAAAATATCTGGACATTAAAGATTTGAACTGGGAGATGGTTGGAAGTATGATGGGAGGACCGATGGGACCATCAGAAACTGGCAGAGTTAAGATGACCTAGAGTAAATTAAAAATTATATGGGCAAATGTGATTTAGTATTATGTTGGTTTAAGTTACACAGGTTTTTTTTTTTTTTTTTTTTTTTTTTTTTTTTTTTTTTTTTGGGGGGGGGGGGGGGGGGGTGAATCGTTTTCTGTTTTCTTGCTTTACTCCATATCAGTTGGTGGCGGTAATGCACAATTCACAAGTCTGCCAACCGCCATAAAACCCCATAAGAAGAAGAAGAAGAGGTTTGGGTGATTGACAGCTCTATCATTAAAGCGGAGCAGCAGCTGTCAGCGCGCGCCAAAGCTCAAAGTGAGCGGAGCGCGCGGAGCGGGAGGAAGAGGAGCTGAATGTGGAACAAACACCTCCGAACTTCTCTCGGTGTCGCAGGATCGGTGCTTCCAGCGCGGGTTCGGCTGAGCGGGTTCGGCTGAGCGGGTTCGGCTGAGCGGGTTCGGCTGAGCGGGTCTCTGCTGGTTCTGGTTCTTGAGGATCCTCCGATCAGCCATGAGCCATGAGGTTGTCTCCCAGCAGCAGGTAAAGAACCGGGCCGGTTCGGCAGAGTTCCTGTTCGGTGTCATCGTGGTTCTGATTCGGTTCTGGTTCCGTTGGTCTGATGTTTGCTAACAGCTGCTAGCCTGCTAGCTGAGTTAGCTTCAGGTTCAGCAGGGCTGGGCTCCAGTGAGGCCTGCTCCATTCGCTGAGCCTCGACCTAAAGTGGACCTTAGCTGCCTGATAGCAGCTCCTGTTAGGCGGATTCAGGGGCAGCAGGAGGTCCGGCTGGTGGAGGTTTAATGGAGGCTGGACGGAAGCTACGATGGGTCATTGTTTGCCTTCAGGCGCCACAGCTGGAAGCCGCACTGCCCTTTAGCAGATCACCCATCACTGGGTTCTAGAGCCCCTTGCTGGTCCCCCATCCTGGACACGGGTGGACCTGTTGGTCTGGGCTCGGGTGGACCTGTTGGTCTGGGCTCGGGCGGACCTGGTGGTCTGGACCGGTGGGGGGACCTGTTGGTCTGGACCGGTGGGGGGACCTGTTGGTCTGGACCGGTGGGGGGACCTGTTGGTCTGGACCGGTGGGGGGACCTGTTGGTCTGGACCGGTGGGGGGGACCTGTTGGTCTGGACTCGGGCGGACCTGTTGAACCTGTTGGTCTAGACTCAGTTGGTCTGGACCGGTGGGGGGACCTGTTGGTCTGGACCGGTGGGGGGACCTGTTGGTCTGGACTCGGGCGGACCTGTTGGTCTGGACCGGTGGGGGGACCTGTTGGTCTGGACCGGTGGGGGGACCTGTTGGTCTGGACTCGGGCGGACCTGTTGGTCTGGACTCGGGGGCGGACCTGTTGGTCTGGACCGGTGGGGGGACCTGTTGGTCTGGACTCGGGGGCGGACCTGTTGGTCTGGACCGGTGGGGGGACCTGTTGGTCTGGACCGGTGGGGGGACCTGTTGGTCTGGACCGGTGGGGGGACCTGTTGGTCTGGACTCGGGCGGACCTGTTGGTCTGGACTCGGGGGCGGACCTGTTGGTCTGGACCGGTGGGGGGACCTGTTGGTCTGGACTCGGGGGCGGACCTGTTGGTCTGGACCGGTGGGGGGACCTGTTGGTCTGGACCGGTGGGGGGACCTGTTGGTCTGGACCGGTGGGGGGACCTGTTGGTCTGGACTCGGGCGGACCTGTTGGTCTGGACCGGTGGGGGGACCTGTTGGTCTGGACCGGTGGGGGGACCTGTTGGTCTGGACTCGGGCGGACCTGTTGGTCTGGACCGGTGGGGGGACCTGTTGGTCTGGACTCGGGGGCGGACCTGTTGGTCTGGACCGGTGGGGGGACCTGTTGGTCTGGACCGGTGGGGGGACCTGTTGGTCTGGACCGGTGGGGGGACCTGTTGGTCTGGACCGGTGGGGGGACCTGTTGGTCTGGACTCGGGCGGACCTGTTGAACCTGTTGGTCTAGACTCAGTTGGTCTGGACCGGTGGGGGGACCTGTTGGTCTGGACTCGGGCGGACCTGTTGGTCTGGACTCGGGCGGACCTGTTGGTCTGGACTCGGGGGCGGACCTGTTGGTCTGGACTCGGGGGCGGACCTGGTGGTCTGGACCGGGGGGGTCTGGACTCGGTGGATGTTAATCCCAGAGTTCCAGGTTGATCTGCTAACGGAGCCTTTCTGATGCGTTAATGAGGGATCCACCATCTTTATTCTCCATCAGCTGCATCCAGGCCGGGGCCCCCCCACACACACAGTGACCTGTACCACGTTCTACTGACTTTAGACCCAGACTAAGTGTGTAAAGTGGTGATCAGGACCGGTTCTGAAGGTTCTGACCGTGCTTCTGTGTTCTATCATCCAGGACCTGCAGCAGTAGACCTGCTCCACCCTACTAAACCGTCTGTTGTTGTATCAGGCTGAAGTGGCGCCAGCTGTTGCCCGGACGACAGAGAGCGACTCTGACAGCGGAATGGGATCTCCAGCTGAGGAGGGGGTCACCCCCACCATGGAGGAGCAGAGGGACAGCCTTCCAGGTACCTGCAGCCAGCGGAGCAAAGGTCACAGCAGCTTCCTGCTGCCACTGATGGTTACACCGCCATCTTGGATTTAGTCATCAGGATGAAAACTATTATTTGAGTCTAATTTTAGTCATTAAGTTTTCTGATAGTTTGATGTTGCTCTTCATAAAACGGTTAACCTTTATAATTATCAATAACAACCAGATTGTTTACCAGACTGGCAGCTCTAGTCTAGATACTAATGCTGGGTTTAGACTTGGACAACTTTTATCCTCGTTTTGTATACAGTGAGTAAAAAAAAAACCAAACATTTAATTTCATAGAGCTCTCGTGACATTTCCAAGTGCAGCAGTGATCAGATGTAAACATTGGGAGAGAAAAAACGTATTGATGTGGTCGGTGTGATGCAGAGTCTCAGCGGTTCATCAGTGTGATGGCGGTGGGGAAGAAGCTGCTGCAGAACCTGCTGGTCCTGCATGGAATGCTGGGAAGCCTCTTCCCAGAGGGCAGCAGGGAGAACAGTCCATGGTGGGGGGGGTGGGGGGTCATTCCCCCCACCCCCCAAGGGCTGACCAGCAGGTTCTGCAGCAGCTTCTTCCCCGCCGCCATCAGACTGATGAACTGTTGAGACCCTAAATCATGTCCCAGACTCTGCATCACACTGATGACACCTAACCAAAACAATAATGGCGTCGCCCGTTGGCGGCGGCATGATTGTGTGTTTCTCGACAGTTATACAAAATATGGCGTGTAAGACGCTACAAACCAGGCATCGATCCCACATCCTCCTACATACAGGATGGAAAAGTCTAAATACTTTTAGGGCTTTCAGTGAAGCAGCTGAAAGAAGAAAATATAGAAACCTGTTCAATGAAAGCTTGAAACTGAACGGCTCCTTCGTCAGTGAAGCAGCAGTGATGCAGAGGAGGCGCTCCCTCTCTCCTGCCGCCGGCGCCTGGAGCTGCATCCTGATTGGTTCGATTCTAAACCGGGTTTGTTTCTCAGATTCAGAGGAAGACGAGGACATCACGGCTCACAGGAAGCCGCGGCGTAACGCCATCAGAGACAGCGACAGCGAGGAAGAAGCAGTGGAGAAGGGCGTGGCCGAGGCCCCGGGGTCACCTGCTTCCAGCGGAGAGGAAGAGGAGGGCAGGAGGGATGGAGCGCAGCGGAGCAGGAGGATCACCTGCTCTCCTGAGGAGGAGGCTGTGACGGCGAAGAGGAGGGAGAAGAGTCAGAGAAACCGTGAGAAGAGGAGGAAACGCAGCAAAGCGGTGGAAGACCTGAAGAAGAAGAGGAAGGGAGCAGAGAGGAGCTCTGAGGAAGAGGAGGTGAGTCCTTCATCCTGAACATCTCACACTTTAGACCAACGGATCACTTCACAGCTCCTGTCTTCAGGGAGGAGCTCAGCCTCCGCTTCTGAACGACAGCGGCTGCCTGCTGGGAGACCCAGACCTGTTTGACGCCGGCCTGGATGATGAGGAGGAGGAGGAGGAGTCTCTGGACGCCATCCGAGCTGCGGCCAGACGGAAGCTGAAAAAACTGGAGGTAAAAAGCAAGCGGAGATGAAAACGATCCAGGAAACGCGGTTCGGTCCTGAAAAGGTTCCTCTGGGTCTGTCTCACCTGCAGGCTCCGCCCCTGGATGAAGACGAGGATGAGGAGGCTTCAGAGAAGCCTCAGCGTCAGGTAGGCAGCGCCACAGCTCCAAACGTCCTGAGAAATGAAAAGTTAGACCCTCCTGACATGGTTTCCCCTCCAGGAGAGGAGAGCCGCCCGCGCCAGCAGGGACGCCATGAAGCAGCTGCACAGCGAGTCTCAGAGGCTGGTCCGCGGTGCGTACCGCCATCATCATCATCATCCGGTGAGTGGTCTGATGTCCAGGACGCTCACCCTGTTCTCCTCCTCAGAGTCCACCCTGGGTCTGCCGTACCACATCCCCCAACCCAAGACCATCGAGCAGTTCTTCAGGAGGAGGGCTCGGCCCCAGGGCCCCGCCATGGCCTTGCTCAAGTAAGCTCCTCCTGCTGGGTTAACGTTCCTCTAACCTGCCGCTTAATATTACACACCTGATAAATCCACGCTTCTCCTCCTTTATGAAGGAAAAACAACAAATAGTTACAGAAATAACTAGAAATAATGATATAGATTGAAACTCGGCGTTGCTTCTCAGCCGAGCTTCAACAGAACGAAAACAGACCTGAGGCCGACGGCGGCGGTTTGCTCCCCATCAGGATCCTCAGCAGCACGCAGACAGAACCGGACATCAGAGACATTTATTATAGAAAACATCGAGCCCATTAGATCATGATGGTTTCCATAGAAACGGCTAAACATAATCTGGGGTGTGGTTGAGTTTTGGTAACTCAGCTAGTTTAGATGACACAGTAATTCCCAAATATTTGATATTTCCTGATTGCAATTGTAGACCTGAGGGATTCTGTAGAGAGCAATTAATTGGTAGTATTACAGATTTAGACCAATTTATAGAGTATTCTGAGACTTTTGAGAAAGATTCTAGTAAACTAATCACTTGAGAGAGGCAAGTGTTTGAGTGCTGGAGATAAAGTAATACATCATCTGCGTAAAGACTAATTTTATGCTCCATTTTCATGCCTTTTATACCTTTAATCATATTTGTTTGTCTGATTGTAGCAGCCAGAGGCTCGATAAAAATAGCAAAAAGTGAGGGGGAGAGCGGGCATCCCTGTCTGGTGCCCCTCTGGAGACAAAACTGGAAGATGTTTGATTGTTTGTCCTGACACAGGCTGTTGGGAAGCTGTATAATATTTTTAACCAATTTATAAAGGAATTGCCAAAGCCAAATTTATGTAGAGTAGCAAATAAAAATTTCCAGTTTACTCTATCGAATGCTTTTTCTGCATCTAAGGACAATATATAGGATTTAAGATTTTTGCTGTAGGAATAATCTATTAAATTCAGCAGTCTGCGTGTGTTAGTAGCTGACTGCCTCCCTTTAATGAAGCCAGTTTGATCTGGGTGGATTATGAGAGGAGTGACTTTATCTAATTGTTTTGCTAAAGCTTTACAGATTATTTTAATATCCACATTAATTAAGGATATGGGACGATAGCTGGTCGGAAACATAGGATCTTTGCCTGGCTTAAGCAGGAGACTAATGGTGGCAGAATTCATATTAACTGGAAATTTGCCATTATCTAGAGTTTCCTGCAGCATTCTGTGGAACGTTGGGGCCAGAATGTCCCAGAACTCTTTATAGAACTCAGTAGGGAACCCGTCTGGACCTGGCGCTTTATTATTTGGCATGTTTTTTAATGCTTCCTGAACTTCAGCTGTAGACAGCGGTGAGTCCAAGGTCGCTCTTTGACTCTCTGATAATTTAGGAAGAGTTATTTTATCCAGAAATCGCTTGATATCATTATCTGATGGATTTAACTGTGATGTGTATAAAGATTTATAGAAATCTCGGAAGGCATTGTTAATATCCTCCGGATCCTGTAATGTATTACCAATTGAATCTGTAACTGCAAATATAGTCGTTTTTTCTTTGTTTATTTTTAGCTGGTTAGCTAAGAAGCTTCCTGACTTATTGCTATGTTCAAAGTTGTCAATTCGAAGTCTTTGAATTAAAAATTTATTTTGTTTTTCAATAAATTCGTTTAGTTCTAGTTTTGTTTTACGGATTTCCCCTAACTTTTCCTCATCTAGCGAGCTTTCTAGTAACTTTATTTTTCCCTCTAATTGCTCGATCTTTTTTTGTTCTAACTTTTTTTTATGAGATGAAAATGAAATAATTTTACCTCTCATCACTGCTTTCCCTGCCTCCCAAAGTATAGATGCTGATGTTCCTGGTAAATCATTGCACACCAAGTATGATGCCCACTCTTCCTTGAAAAATTTGAGAAACTCTTCATCTTTAAGCAGTGATGTATTTAATCTCCAGCTCTTGTTTTGTAGGGCTATTTTTTTATTTATTAGGGTTAAAGTAACAGGAGCATGATCACTGACAGCAATAGGATGGATTACAGCATCTGAGACGTCAGACAGCAGTGAGCTGCTGATTAGGAAATAGTCCAGACGAGAGTAGGAATGATGGACATTGGAAAAGAAAGTGTATTCCTTACTGTTAGGATGAAGAGATCGCCATGCATCGCAAAGACCAAAATCACTCATGTATTGTTTGACTACATTTAATGATTGCCAACTGCGCTGGGTCCCTGTTGTACTCAACCTGTCCATTTCTCCATTTAGACCAAAGTTGAGGTCACCCCCAATAATTAGAGAACAATCCCCGTGCTTTGAAAGTGCATGAAAAACTTTGTGGAAGAATGAGGGGTCGTCAACATTTGGACCATATATGCTGACAATACACAACTTTTGGTTATAAATAGATATTTTAATTATGATGAATCTGCCTTCAGGATCTATAATTTTGTCTAATAAAGTAAAACTGAGGTTTTTGTGGATTAAAATAGCTACCCCTCTCTGTCTAGAGTTATAGCAGGCTGCAAACACATCAGGGAACTCAGGGGAGTTAAGATCACTTATAGATGCCGCTGATTTATGGGTTTCTTGCAATAAGACAACATCTGCATTTAATCTTTTAAGCTGGTTAAAAATCTTAAGCTTTTTCTCTCTGGTGCCAGCCCCATGCACATTCCATGTCACAAACCTTACATTCACCATAGGTGTGAGTGAGAAGATGAAAAGTACATGCCTCTGAATAAATAGTTATACCTAGATGCAGGTAGCATCAAACCGTGTGCTTGTGATTGTGTGGACCACAGGGAAGAAGCAGACGAATAAGGAAAAGGAAGACAGAAAATTAAGAGTGCAATGAGTGAGAAAAGGTGAAAGAAAAAGAACCCCAGCCCATGCATTCTGTACCCAGCTGTGACTAGCAGTCATACCGTGCAAACGTGCTCTAGAGCTGTGCATATATTTCATTTATCACCGTGAAATGTTCTATACACTTTGATCAGGTGTCACATGCTTTTAAACCCGCCTGTTGTGCATCTAATAAAGCCAAGGAGTGATCTTCTGATCCCTGAACAACTGACCATTAATATAAAGTTTGTCAACTGCTACTGTAGCTCTGACGCCTTCACTGATGTATTTCTTCCTGATTGGGAATAACGCTCGCCTGCGATCTAATATTTCCTTTGGATACTGGTCATTGACGCTGAAATCTGTTCCTCTCAGCTCTCTGCCCTGACTCCTGACCTGCTCTTTCTGCTTGTAATGCTCAAACTTAGCTACAATTGGTCTAGGACGGGATTTATCAGGCTTCTTACCTCCGAGCCGGTGAACGCGATGGAAGGTGATGTTTTTTACCTGGTCCGCCGGGATTTTCAGCTTCTTCTGGAGGAACTCACGTACTATCGTCTCAGGGTCCTCGTCCTGCTGTTCAGCGATTCCAGCGAAGACGAGATTGTCTCTCATGCTCCGCGACTGAATGTCCAGAATGGATTCCTTCATCTTTCTATTTTCGCCGGACAGCTGGATCATCCCCTCGGCGAGTTTGGTGACTTCCCCCTTCAGCGCTTCATTCTCGGCGGTGACGGAGGCCAGCTGAGCTTGGCTGAATTCCAGCGACTCTCTCAAAGCTTGAAACTCCTTATGCAGGACTTCTACCAGGGCAAGGCGGGCGTCCAAGCTAGTTAGCTTTTTGTCGATGGATTCCAGGACGTCGCTGTAGCTCCTGTCTGGAGACAAAGTAGATGTAGAAGCAGCACTGGTTGAACTAGACCGACATCGTTTGGAAGACGGTGTGTTTGTGGATGTGGGATTCTTCCCCATTACGATGTTGTCAAAACACTCGTCCAGGTAGCTCTCCAGGCTCGTCAAGGTCTCGTCTTCCAGTTTGTTCCCTCGGAAATACGGTACAATTGTCAAAGTTTAAATCTGCTTGTTTTATTTACACTTATTGGCTTACTTACCAGGACTGGAATTGTTTGTTTTGAATTACCTGTATGTCGCCATTTTTACTTACGCACACGCCCACAGCTCTCGCGAGATCTCAGCCGCTCATCTCACACAGGACTGCTCCTCAATCGATCAAGAATGATTTCAGTTTCTGGCTCAACATAATCTGACCACAGGGATCAGGTGTGTCCGCCAATGGTCTAGTGGGGTCTATAAATAGTGGTCGTTTCTCTCAGTAAAATAACTTGTTTAGGCTTTTTTCTAATGTTGTAAAGAACAAAATGAGCAGTAAAAGTATTTAATATCTTTGCTCATATCGGGTCGATATTAATTTGTCATTTAAAGTGGAATCCCTCATTTTAATCGATCTATTAATTAACTTTTCTAATCTGATCTCTAATTGAACCGCTTCACATCCCCATTAGACCAGCAGCTAAATCAGATGCAGTGACCCCTCCTGACCTGAGGAGGGCGCCAAACAGGCGTTAGACACTAAAGCAGGATTTCAGTAAATGTGCATAAATGCTAAAATAATGACGGTGGTTCTTTAGGAACCTCCAGTCCTCTAGGTGGCGCTAATGCTGAAAACCCTGAAACCAAACATGTAGCGGCTGAGGTTGGTCAGGAAATGGGTCGGTTCTGCTCCTTGGTTCTGCTGGTTCTGCCGCCGTGTTCCTCCGGGTCTGGCTCATGATGATGATGATGGTCTTCCTCTCAGGTCTTCCAGATACTCAGAACTTATGCTGGAGGCGCCGTCTGCTCCGCCCACTCAGCAGGAGGCCCCTCCTTCTCTGGATCTGTCGGCCAATCAGCTCCAGTCTGAACCTGCCGCCGCCTCGTCCCCGCAGCAGAACCTCCCTGCAGAAGCTGCAGCAGAACCAGAACCAGAACCTGAGTCGGGTCCGATGCTGCTGCTCTCTGAGAGTCTGGAGGAGGCGCCGCCGGGTGCCGGTTCTGAACCCTCAGATGCTCCTCTGGACCAGAACCTGAAGGCAGACGCATCTGAAGTCCAACCAGCAGAACCTCAGGCGGAGCCCGCTTTGGGCTCCGGACCAGAACCGCCCAAACCCAAGAAGGACAAGCTGACCCGACTGAAGGAGCTGGGTTTGGACCCGCCTCCCGTGGCCAAGCTGAGCCCGGATGACGGAGCGTTCGTTCGCCTCGAGCCGCCTCAGTCCAACCCAGGTAACGGCGGCGTGGCGCCCGGCTGGATCCGGAGCGGGTTGGTCCTGAACTCACAGGGTTCTGGTCTTTCTCAGGCGTGGAGGCCCTGAAGGAGCGCTACCTTCGCCACGTCCACGCCCCGCGTCGGCCCGCCGTGGAGCGGACCCTGCAGCTCACCGTGGTCCGTAAGGACAGCGCCCCCTCTGGCCGGGAGGAGCTGCACTCAGAGTCCATCTCGGTCACCGTGAAGGAGGGAGCGGAGGAGCCGCTTCCCACCAAACCAGGTCAGTGAGAGAACCAGAACCGGCCCGGTTCTGCTGGTGGGTCGCTTCTAACGGGTCGCTCTCTGAAGGAGAGAAGCTGCTGACCCTGAAGCAGCGGCTGCAGCTCGCCATGGCCCAGCGCCGCCAGGAGGAGAGGGCCCGACGGGCCGAGCTTCATCGCCTCGACAACGAAGACTGTGAGGAAGAGGAGGAGGAGGAGGAAGATATGACGGATGAATCTGAGGAAGAGGTGAAAACATGGAGGTTCTGCCGGGGTTCTGCTCCTCCATCAGAACCTTTAACCTTCGTCTGGGTTTCAGGGAGTGGATGAGCTGCTGGGGAGGGAGGAGGAGGAGGAGGCGCAGAACCCGGACCCGGTGAACACAGACGGGACCCTGATGCTGTTCCCAGGCAGCTCCTGCTCCCGGACCGGGTGAGTTCCCCTTTCCTCTGGCGCCGATCGTTGCCGGGACGACGGCCCTAAAGATGTGCTGTTTTCCAGGGACGGCGTGAGGAGGTCTGGACCTGCTGGAACGGAGCTGAGCAGTAAGACGGGTGGGTGAGGAGCAGCAGGAGCAGCCTGAGGAGCGTAGAGGAGGTTCTGACTGTTTGTGTGTCTCCAGAGGAGGACGACTCGTTGGTGAAGGACGATCTGGCCGCCTCCATGATCACCTCCTACCAGCCCGTCAGCAGCCAGCGGGGGAGGGGCACCTCCTTCTGCTCCTTCCGTTCTCCTTCGCCCTGCTTCTTCCGGCCCACCTTCCTGGGTTCTGCCTCCAGGGTGAGTCGGGCTGCAGGTTCTGACCCGATCAGCGTTTCCGTCTGGGATCTTCTGACTTCTCTCCTCTGCTGTGACCCAGAGCTCCGGCAGACTGTCAGAGCGCTCCCTCTGCCTCCCCGTGGAGGACTCCCAGGACCTGTACGCCCCGCCCTCCCCCGGAGCCGACTCGGGCCCCCTGGGGGGAGCGGCGTCCGGCCCGGTTCTGGGGGGAGACTCCCAGGGTCGCTTCTCCCTTGAGGACGACGCCCAGTCCCAGCTGCTGGACGCAGACGGCTTCCTGAACGTGGGGCCGCGTCCTGGAGACGCCTCGTCCCACAAGAGACAGCTGGTCCTGGACAGCCTGGACGAGAACGCCATGGACGCCAACATGGGGGAGCTGCTGGGGTTCTGCTCCGGGGGCTTTGGCTCGGCCGAGGGCGGCGCCGACGAGCTGCTGGGTCTGTGCTCTGGAGCGTTTCCTCAGACTCAGGCGGAGAAAGGGGAGGAGTCTGAGGGCGCCATGGAGCAGCTGCTGGACCTGTGCTCCGGAAAGTTCCCCAGCCAAGGTGAGCGTTCCGACCCGGAATCCTTGATCCCAGATTCAGGAAGTTCAGCTGAGGAACGTCTGGTTCTGCTTCCAGGTTCTGCTCCTTCAGCTCCGCTGCCTGCTGACAGGTACCAACCAGCACTGATCCCGCCTCCTCACAGGTTCCTCTAGAGACCAACCTTCTGCTCTTCATCACTTTCTGTCAGGGAGGAGGAGCAGCAGGAGGAGGAGCAGCAGGAGGAGGAGCAGCAGCAGGAGGAGGAGCAGCAGGAGGAGGACTGCGAGTTCCATCTGCTGTCAGACGTGGAGAGCGAGCAGGTGAGACGGTTTCCTCTGACTTCCTGTTTGGTGCTTCCTGCTTCCTCTGAACCTGAAGCCTGATGAGCAGGAGGACGAAGGTGAGGATGATGATGGTGAGGAGGAGGAGGATGGAGCTGCTGATGAAGGTGAGGAGGAGGAGCTCCAGGGAGTGTTTCTCCCACGCAGACCAGAGAAGAAGAAGAAGATGTGAGTTTAAACGTTGAGATCTTCAGGCGGTTCTGCTGGTTCTGCTGTAATCGGGTCGGGTCGGTCCGCAGGGCGCTGAGGGACTACGTGGACTCGGAGGCGGAGCTTTCAGGAAGCGATGCGGACAGCGACGATGACGAGGGCGACGAAGGCAGCGAGTACGAGGAAGAGGAGCTGCTGGAGGAGCTTCCTTCAGATGAAGAGCTCCAGAACCAGGTCAACAAGATCCACATGTGAGTGAGACCAGAACCAGAACCTCTCAGCTGTTTGCTAGATGGACCGGGCCTCAGCGCCGTGTCCCGTCTCCACAGGAAGCAGCTTCTGGACGACGACAAGCGGCGCCTGAGGCTGTATCAGGACCGGTACCTGGCGGACGGCGACCTGCACTCCGACGGACCCGGAAGAGCCCGCCGGTTCCGCTGGAAGAACATCGGTGAGCCTCCCGAGGTTCTGGTTCTGATCCGCAGAAGGATCAGCCGGTTCTGATTCTGAGCCACCGAGATCCGGGTCCATCAGAACCTTCAGGCCCTGAAACCGACCTGAACCGGTTACTGCAGAACCCAGATCAAAGCAGGTTCTGCAGAATCGGGCCTCATTGTGACGGTTGAAGGACCCAGATCGGCGGTTCTGTCTCCAGAACCGGTCCAGAGCTTCTGCTATTCCATCTGGATCCAATGTGGAGGTCCGATGGGTGGTTCTGACTCTGGAACGGTTCTGTTGACTCTTCCAGACGACGGGTTCGGTGCGGACGGGTCGGGTCCAGACGGCGGCGAGGAGGGCGAGGAAGACGAGGATGTGGACCCGGCTGAGGTCCAGAGGAGGAAGGCCCGGTTGGAGAGGGAGCAGTGGCTCAGAGAGCAGGTAGGTTCTGACCCGCCACAGCAGAACCGGGCCCAGCGGGTCGTTAACGGAGCGCTTCTCCTCAGACGCAGCAGAAGGTCCAGAAAGGAGAAGATCTGGAAGCAGAAGACGCCGCAGACGAGGACAGCCGCTTCATGAAGCTGGCCAAGAAGCTGACGGCCAGAACCCTGGAGAGGAAAGGTGGGTCGGGTCGGGTCGGGTTCTGCAGGTTCTGTTCGTCACAGACTAACGCTTTGATCTGTTGGAAGCAGAACCTCCTCAGTCGGATCAGAGGAACCCCTTCCAGAACCTTCCTCAGGTGAGCTGCCCCCCCCCCTCCCACCTGCAGCCGGGTTCAGCGCCGGTTCTGACCTGTTTCTGACCTTCTGGTTCTGACCTTCTGGTTCTGATCCAGGTGCGGCGAGGTTCTCTGCTCAGTCAGCCGCCGGCGCTGCTGCAGAAACTGGCCAACATCTCTGAGGGGAACCCGCTGGCGCCGCGCAGCACCAGAGGCTTCCTGTTCCACGCCGTCTCCCCAGAGAAGGTCCACACGGCGCCGGAACCCGCTTACAAGCAGGTGAGTCCGGTCGGCCCGGTCCAGAGGGAACCAGAACCTACCTGGGTCCACCAGAGCATCTTTGTTCCAACACTAGGGGGAGCTGTGGTTCTACAGAACCCAATGCTGGGTCCACCTAAGGTTCTGGGTGTGTTGGTCCTCAGGTGGCGAAGAAGAGGATCCAGGTGGAGGCGCAGAACCCGGCGGCCAAGAGGCCGTGCAGACGGAACCGCGACGCCGGACCCGCCCAGAACCCTCAGAGGAGCATCTTCAGCTTCCTGGACCACTGAGGCGCCGCAGGGGCCCAGATGGACCTTAACTGCCGAGGCCGCCGGGGCCCGGAGCGGGCCCCCGGTCCGCTGGGCCCCTGGTCTGCCGGGCCCTGAGCGGGTCCGCCGGGCCTGGAGCAGGGTCCCGGTCCGCCGGATCCCCCGGGGCGGGTCCTGAATGTTTCCTGTAAATATTGTGATTCTGAGTCGGTTTGTTTTGTGTAAATAAAAGTGTATTTTAAGACGTGGTTCTGATCCGGTTTCTGGGTCGTCTGCTGCAGGTGGATTTTAGCAGAACCTGATCTTTTAATGGATCAGAACCTCTAGATGAGGGTCTGTGGTTCTGATCCAAACTGAAGCTTCTGGACACTTTCAGGAAGGTTCTAAACATTCCCAGGATGTGGAAAACCCAGAATTCCCAACAACCGTGGGACCGCAGGAAGTTCCAGATGATGGTGGAACATTCCGGGTCTCAGAACTTTCCGGGTCTCAGAACTTTCCCTCCATTGATCAAAAATTCTTTACCAAAATGTTTGGACCTTCAGAACAGAAGAACCTGCAGCGGGACGGAGGAAGCTGATTGGCTGAACGTTCTGCTGCAGAGCATTTACTGAAATAATACGCCGTCATTTAATCTATAAACACACTTTTAGTTTAATAGGAGTTTAATTTGAGATTATTCTGGGAACCAATTAGATCAAATAAAACCTGGATTATTTAATCCAAGATAAAGCTTCTTACTGGGCTGGAAGGAATAAAGTCTGACAGTCTGGATCTTGGCTTTGGTGCTGGAAGCGTCCCTGGTTGGTTCATGAGGAGTAGGGAGGCCATGGAGGAGGAGTAGGGAGGCCATGGAGGAGGAGTAGGGAGGCCTGAGCCTCATTCTGACCTGTTAGAACACGTCACATCTGGATCAGCTGGAGGGTTTTTATTGCTTAATAAATTAGATTCCTTTGATGATTTTTCTTTGATTTTTGTTCTCAGCAGATTGAAGTTTAAACAAAGAATTCAGTGAGAATATTTCATTGATTCAGATCCAGGATGAATTATTTTAATGTTTTTCTCAGCAGCAAATTTGCTCCAAATTAGTTATTAAACGGCATGAGATTAATTATGCTGATGGCTATATCTATGGAGCTATATCTGTCTATAATCCAGATGAAGCTAACCCATTACATAGATTACAGGCATGTCTGAAGACATAAAAACCTGGATGACTCTTAACTTTCTGCTTCTGAATGCAGACAAAACAGAAGTTATAGTCTTTGGACCAGAGTCTCTGAAAAAGAAGCTGATTAGTCAGTCACTTCATTTGGATGGGATTAAACTGATTTCAGATAATAAAGGAAAAAATCTTGATGTTGTTTTTGATCAGGACCTGTCATTTAAATCCCAGATCAAAGAGGTTTCTAGAATTTCCTTCTTTCATCTGAGGAATATTGCAAAAATGAGCAATCTCCTGTCCAGGGGTGATGCTGAGAAACTAGTCCATGCATTTGTTACTTCAAGGCTGGACTATTGTAATTCTTTACTATCAGGAAGTCCACAAACTGTAGTTAAAAGCCTTCAGCTGATCCAAAATGCTGCAGCCAGAGTTCTGATGAAAATGAAAAGAGAGATCATATCTCGCCTATCCTGGCTTCTCTTCATTGGCTTCCTGTTAAATCCAGAATAGAATTTAAAATCCTCCTTCTCACATATAAAGCCTTAAATGGCCAAGCTCCATCTGATATCAGAGATCTGATTGTTCCTTATGTTCCTAACAGAGCACTTTGCTCTCAGTCTGCAGGTTTACTAGTGGTTCCTAGAATTTCTAAAAGTAGAATGGGAGGCAGATCTTTTAGTTCTCAGGCTCCTCTCCTGTGGAACCAACTACCAGTTTTAGTCCGTGAGGCAGACACCCTGTCTACTTTTAAGGCTAGGCTTAAAACTTTCCTTTTTGATAAAGCTTCTAGTTAGAGTGGCTCAGGTTATCCTGAGCTATCTCTATAGTTCTGCTGCTATAGGCTTAGACTGCTGGAGGACATAGGGACCCCCATTTCATCATTCTGCTTCATTCTATCTCTATTCTCCCACTCTGCAGAATCTGTTAGTTCAATCTCTAACGTTCTGCTCTCTCTGCTTTTCCTCAGAGTAGCTTCATCTGGTCTGTTCCATCAGGAACTGAATCTTTTTTATTAAATTCTAACATTTTGAACACGTGAATTTCTTCCATATGTGCAGAAATGTTTGTTTGATCCTGATTTCATGGTTAGTTCCCCTGCTGTTCTAACCCACAGCCAGTAGGGGGTGCTCACACTATATGATGCTTAAATGATAGATTTAAATGACATAAAGTTTAACTGCATTTAATTTAACAACAAAGGAGACTTTCTCATGTTGAAGTTCAGCAGGTTTGAACCAGTTCTGAAGGATGAAGCTCAGATGTTCCAGGTCCAGGTTGATGGTTTGGGTCCACAGAACCGAGCCTGGATGACTTTCTTCTTCTTCCTGTTTTTGAGCTTAATTGCAGTTCAGAGCCTAATGAGTCTCTAAGTGGCTAATAATAGGCCGGCATTAAGCCGCCGTCCGCTAACGAGCCCTTTCATCTCTCTCCATCTCATTAGGAGCCATGATGATTAGAAGCAGGTCCCGGGGTTTGGGTCGGGCGCAGGAGGCCCCATTATGCATCATTAGGGGCCAGCATCAGCAGGGGCCCCGCCTGCAGCGTCCTGCTGGTGTCTCATTCCTTCTCCATTCCTCAGCGAGGTTCTAACTGAGCTGCATGGATCATCGTTTCTCCTCATTATGGAGGGAGGAACCTTCCGGGGCTTCAGCTCCTCACATCTGATCTGAGTTTAGAAGGAACAGTTTCTCTGAAGCCTCCTGAGGAGGAGCAGGAGGTCAGAGCCGGACGCCTCCTGGACAGCCAGCTTTAACCCCTGAGGAGGAGCAGGAGGTCAGAGCCGGACGCCTCCTGCTCCCACATCAGAATGAAGGTCACACGTTCTGACAGGAGAAAGTCACCAGAGGATCCTGTTAATTTAGAGCCAGGATGGGAGAAGCGAGGAGGAACTGAGCTGCACCTCCCAGGGCTGAGGAGGAGTCACAAGATTCAAGCCCATCAGTTCTGCTCCTTTCTCCGAGCGCCGCAGGTCCGCCATGTTGGACGTGACAGGGAGGCATGGTGGCGAGCTGCAGACTGCTGAGCCTGGTTCTGAAGGCCTGGTTCTAAGGTCTGGTTCTAGGGGCCTGGTTCTAAGGGCCTGGTTCTGAAGGCCTGGTTTTAAGGTCTGTTTCTAAGGGCCTGGTTCTGAAGGCCTGGTTCGAAGGTCTGGTTCTGAAGGCCTGGTTCTAAGGTCTGGTTCTGAAGGCCTGGTTCTAAGGTCTGGTTCTGAAGGCCTGGTTCTAAGGGCCTGGTTCTGAAGGCCTGGTTCTGAAGGCCTGGTTCTAAGGTCTGGTTCTAAGGGCCTGGTTCTGAAGGCCTGGTTCTGAGGGTCTGGTTCTAAGGGCCTGGATCTGAAGGCCTGGTTCTAAGGTCTGGTTCTGAAGGCCTGGTTCTAAGGGCCTGGTTCTGAAGGCCTGGTTTTAAGGTCTGTTTCTAAGGGCCTGGTTCTGAAGGCCTGGTTCTAAGGTCTGGTTCTAGGGGCCTGGTTCTAAGGTCTGGTTCTAGGGGCCTGGTTCTGAAGGCCTGGTTCTAAGGTCTGGTTCTAAGGTCTGGTTCTAAGGTCTGGTTCTAAGGGCCTGGTTCTGAAGGCCTGGTTCTGAGGGTCTGGTTCTAAGGGCCTGGATCTGAAGGCCTGGTTCTAAGGTCTGGTTCTGAAGGCCTGGTTCTAAGGGCCTGGATCTGAAGGCCTGGTTCTAAGGTCTGGTTCTGAAGGCCTGGTTTTAAGGTCTGGTTCTGAAGGCCTGGTTTTAAGGTCTGGTTCTGAAGGCCTGGTTTTAAGGTCTGGTTCTAAGGTCTGGTTCTGAAGGCTTGGTTCTAAGGTCTGGTTCTAAGGGCCTGGTTCTAGGGGCCTGGTTCTAAGGTCTGGTTCTAGGGGCCTGGTTCTGAAGGCCTGGTTTTAAGGTCTGTTTCTAAGGGCCTGGTTCTGAAGGCCTGGTTCTAAGGTCTGGTTCTAAGGGCCTGGTTCTAAGGTCTGGTTCTGAAGGCCTGGTTCTAAGGTCTGGTTCTGAAGGCCTGGTTCTAAGGGTCTGGTTCTGAAGGCCTGGTTCTGAAGGCCTGGTTCTAAGGTCTGGTTCTAAGGGCCTGGTTCTGAAGGCCTGGTTCTGAGGGTCTGGTTCTAAGGGCCTGGATCTGAAGGCCTGGTTCTAAGGTCTGGTTCTGAAGGCCTGGTTCTAAGGGCCTGGTTCTGAAGGCCTGGTTTTAAGGTCTGTTTCTAAGGGCCTGGTTCTGAAGGCCTGGTTCTAAGGTCTGGTTCTAGGGGCCTGGTTCTAAGGTCTGGTTCTAGGGGCCTGGTTCTGAAGGCCTGGTTCTAAGGTCTGGTTCTAAGGTCTGGTTCTAAGGTCTGGTTCTAAGGGCCTGGTTCTGAAGGCCTGGTTCTGAGGGTCTGGTTCTAAGGGCCTGGATCTGAAGGCCTGGTTCTAAGGTCTGGTTCTGAAGGCCTGGTTCTAAGGGCCTGGATCTGAAGGCCTGGTTCTAAGGTCTGGTTCTGAAGGCCTGGTTTTAAGGTCTGGTTCTGAAGGCCTGGTTTTAAGGTCTGGTTCTAAGGTCTGGTTCTGAAGGCTTGGTTCTAAGGTCTGGTTCTAAGGGCCTGGTTCTAAGGGCCTGGTTCTAGGGGCCTGGTTCTAAGGGCCTGGTTCTGAAGGCCTGGTTTTAAGGTCTGGTTCTAAGGGCCTGGTTCTGAAGGCCTGGTTCTAAGGGCCTGGTTCTGAAGGCCTGGTTCTAGGGGCCTGGTTCTAAGGGCCTGGTTCTGAAGGCCTGGTTCTAAGGTCTGGTTCTAGGGGCCTGGTTCTAAGGGCCTGGTTCTGAAGGCCTGGTTCTAAGGTCTGGTTCTAGGGGCCTGGTTCTAAGGGCCTGGTTCTGAAGGCCTGGTTCTAAGGTCTGGTTCTGAAGGTCTGGTTCTGAAGGCCTGGTTCTAAGGTCTGGTTCTGAAGGCTTGGTTCTAAGGTCTGGTTCTAAGGGCCTGGTTCTAAGGGCCTGGTTCTAGGGGCCTGGTTCTAAGGGCCTGGTTCTGAAGGCCTGGTTTTAAGGTCTGGTTCTAAGGGCCTGGTTCTGAAGGCCTGGTTCTGAAGGCCTGGTTCTAAGGGCCTGGTTCTGAAGGCCTGGTTCTAGGGGCCTGGTTCTAAGGGCCTGGTTCTGAAGGCCTGGTTCTAAGGTCTGGTTCTAGGGGCCTGGTTCTAAGGGCCTGGTTCTGAAGGCCTGGTTCTAAGGTCTGGTTCTAGGGGCCTGGTTCTAAGGGCCTGGTTCTGAAGGCCTGGTTCTAAGGTCTGGTTCTGAAGGTCTGGTTCTGAAGGCCTGGTTCTAAGGTCTGGTTCTGAAGGCCTCTTTTTCTCCCCCTCAGACGAGGAGGCAGGAAGGAGCTGAAGTGCTGGAGCTGGAATTTAGTTGGGTCGGGTGTCTTGCTGCCAGCAACATGTCAAAAGGGATGAGAGACGCTGGGAGACGCTGAGAGACGCTGGGAGACCCATAGAGACGCTGGGAGACCCATAGAGACGCTTGGAGACGCTGGGAGACCCATAGAGACGAGGGGAGACGCTGAGAGACCCATAGAGACGCTGAGAGACGCTGGGAGACCCATAGAGACGCTGAGAGACGCTGAGAGAGGCTGGGAGATGCTGGGAGACGCTGAGAGACGCTGAGAGAGGCTGAGAGACGCTGAGAGACCCATAGAGACGCTGGGAGACGCTGGGAGACCCATAGAGACGCTGAGAGACCCATAGAGACGCTGAGAGACGCTGAGAGAGGCTGAGAGACGCTGAGAGACCCATAGAGACGCTTGGAGACGCTGGGAGACCCATAGAGACGCTGGGAGACGCTGAGAGACCCATAGAGACGCTGAGAGACGCTGGGAGACCCATAGAGACGCTGAGAGACGCTGAGAGAGGCTGGGAGATGCTGGGAGACGCTGGGAGACGCTGAGAGACGCTGAGAGAGGCTGAGAGACGCTGAGAGACCCATAGAGACGCTGGGAGACCCATAGAGACGCTGGGAGACCCATAGAGACGCTGGGAGACCCATAGAGACGCTGGGAGACCCATAGAGACGCTGGGAGACCCATAGAGACGCTGGGAGACGCTGAGAGACGCTGAGCGCTCAGTGAATCAGTCTCATGTAGCCTCTGCTCTGCACAAACACATAAACAAAGCCTGCAGCATCTCTGCATGGTGCCGCCTGGCCCCGGTGCATTGTGGGTAATACCTCAGACAGACACCATCATCAGATGGACTGAGGATGGTGTCTGTGGCAGGAGTTCAAGGGTTCTTTATTTCAAACTACATTTCCCAGAATGCATCAGAGGAGAAACCCTGAAACAGCAGGTTCTCCTGTAGATGATCAGACCTGCAGCTCTGGATGTTCTCAGGTCAGAAGGTCAGAAGGTGACCAGCTGAGGATCAGCCAGGTGAGCTCATCATGGAGACCAGAACAGGTTAGATCCTCCTGGTTCTAGGAACGTTCTGGGTCAGGATCGGGTCATGGGTTCCAGAACGGTTCCAGCTGTGAGCAAACATCATGAGCTGCTGGGACACGTGGAGGAAACAAAGGAAGCTTTGAGACATCATGAAGATCTCTGGCTGCGACCTTCAGGGTTCAGCTCTTTGTTCTTCACTATCAGTAGAATTATGCTTTAAATTCAGTATTTTCCTCCCAGTTCAGCCGTTTAATCGGATGTTTTTCTGCTCATTATCTCTGTGAAAAACCTTCAAAATGATTTTAATAACAATGATTCCACTAGAACTCAATAAAACATCAAAGGATTTTCCCACAAAGATCAGAAAATATCTAGAACCATCTGAAGAACCCACAGTGGTATGAATCTGTGCAGTGAAGCAGTTCTGATGATTCAGTTTAATTTCAGTTGCTGAAAAAATTCCTTCTTTGTGTTTTTCTGCTGCAGACGCTGATCCTCTGCTACGGTTCCAGGAAGTACTGGTCCCAGTAGAACCAGCAGGGAGACTGGTCTGACAGTTTTCATCTAAAAGACAAAACTATTAGAAAATAATGAGACGCTGATTGGTTCCATGAACCAAGAACCTGGTTCTTTGGTGGTGGAACCGGTTCTAGTTGGAGCAGATCTATCCTGCAGTCAGGGAAGAGTAGCTGACGGTTCCTGAGGCGTCAGAGGAACCGTAGCTCAGTGAGGCAGACATGCTAATCAACTCAATGACCTGCGAGTTCCAGTTGCCTTGTTTTTGGTTAGAAAACATGCAGATTGAAACGGAGGAACGGGTCCACCCCTTTGGAAGGGGGGGTCGTTTGTCTCTGGGGGGGGGGGGGGGTTGTTAAAGGGGATAGTTGGCCCCTGGCTGAATAGGCGAGGTCTCCTGTTCTCCTGTAAGGGGTTGGAGCTGTGATGATAGCGAAGGAATCAGCTCCATCGCTGCATCGTTATTGAAAGCTGAAACCTGAGTCCCCCCCCCCCAAAGATGGCTTCCTTCATCTCCTCTCAGACATCCTGTCTTCTTTGTCCAAAATGTGAACATTCTGGTCCTCCAAACCTGGAACTCAACGCTATTTCTGACATTTTGCGTTGAAACATTTTCCTGATGGAAGAGAACTTCAAAGAGACGTGGATGGAGGCAAAAGGTTGGAGAGAAGTTCTCTGAGGTCTGGGAAGTGCTGCCAGAGGAGACGGGGTTGGTGGAGAAGGTTCTGGAGATGGTGGTCCAGCTGAGCTCCGGTCCAGCTGAAGATCACCGAGGCTTTGAAGGACTAAGCTGACCCGGAGGAGCATGGAACCTCCTGCAGAGAGCGGCTGAGGTTCTGCTGCAGGTTCTAAAGAGAGAACTGGAACAGAGGAACGATCAGAGGCTGACGTCTAACTGCTCCTGGAGACAGCAGGGCTGAACGCTGACTGGATCCGACTGACTGGTTCTGACTGACTGGTTCCGACTGCTTCTGACTGACTGGTTCTGACTGACTGGTTCCGACTGGTTCTGACTGACTGGTTCGGACTGCTTCTGACTGACTGGTTCTGACTGACTGCTTCTGACTGACTGGTTCCGACTGCTTCTGACTGACTGGTTCCGACTGGTTCTGACTGACTGGTTCCGACTGACTGGTTCTGACTGGTTCTGACTGACTGGTTCCGACTGGTTCTGACTGACTGGTTCTGACTGCTTCTGACTGACTGGTTCCGACTGCTTCTGACTGACTGCTTCTGACTGACTGGTTCCGACTGCTTCTGACTGACTGGTTCCGACTGGTTCTGACTGACTGGTTCCGACTGACTGGTTCTGACTGGTTCTGACTGACTGGTTCCGACTGGTTCTGACTGACTGGTTCTGACTGCTTCTGACTGACTGGTTACGACTGGTTCTGACTGACTGGTTCGGACTGCTTCTGACTGACTGGTTCTGACTGACTGCTTCTGACTGACTGGTTCCGACTGCTTCTGACTGACTGGTTCCGACTGGTTCTGACTGACTGGTTCTGACTGCTTCTGACTGACTGGTTCCGACTGGTTCTGACTGACTGGTTCTGACTGCTTCTGACTGACTGGTTCCGACTGGTTCTGACTGACTGGTTCTGACTGCTTCTGACTGACTGGTTCTGACTGACTGGTTCCGACTGGTTCTGACTGACTGGTTCGGACTGCTTCTGACTGACTGGTTCTGACTGACTGCTTCTGACTGACTGGTTCCGACTGCTTCTGACTGACTGGTTCCGACTGGTTCTGACTGACTGGTTCCGACTGACTGGTTCTGACTGGTTCTGACTGACTGGTTCCGACTGGTTCTGACTGACTGGTTCTGACTGCTTCTGACTGACTGGTTCCGACTGCTTCTGACTGACTGCTTCTGACTGACTGGTTCCGACTGCTTCTGACTGACTGGTTCCGACTGGTTCCGACTGACTGGTTCTGACTGGTTCTGACTGACTGGTTCCGACTGGTTCTGACTGACTGGTTCTGACTGCTTCTGACTGACTGGTTACGACTGGTTCTGACTGACTGGTTCGGACTGCTTCTGACTGACTGCTTCTGACTGACTGGTTCCGACTGCTTCTGACTGACTGGTTCCGACTGGTTCTGACTGACTGGTTCTGACTGCTTCTGACTGACTGGTTCCGACTGGTTCTGACTGACTGGTTCTGACTGCTTCTGACTGACTGGTTCCGACTGGTTCTGACTGACTGGTTCTGACTGCTTCTGACTGACTGGTTCTGACTGACTGGTTCTGACTGACTGGTTCCGACTGACTGGTTCTGACGGACTGGTTCTGACTGGTTCTGACTGACTGGTTCGGACTGCTTCTGACTGACTGGTTCTGACTGCTTCTGACTGACTGGTTCTGACGGACTGGTTCTGACTGGTTCTGACTGACTGGTTCCGACTGGTTCCGACTGACTGGTTCTGACTGGTTCTGACTGACTGGTTCCGACTGGTTCTGACTGACTGGTTCTGACTGCTTCTGACTGACTGGTTCCGACTGGTTCTGACTGACTGGTTCCGACTGACTGGTTCTGACTGGTTCTGACTGACTGGTTCCGACTGGTTCTGACTGACTGGTTCTGACTGCTTCTGACTGACTGGTTCCGACTGGTTCTGACTGACTGGTTCTGACTGACTGCTTCTGACTGACTGGTTCCGACTGCTTCTGACTGACTGGTTCTGACGGACTGGTTCTGACTGGTTCTGACTGACTGGTTCTGACGGACTGGTTCTGACTGGTTCTGACTGACTGGTTCTGACTGACTGCTTCTGACTGACTGGTTCCGGTCCAATCCTGTTTTCTGTTTCCAGACGGAAGCTGTGCCTCCATGTTGTTCTCCTTTCCTCCCAGCAGAGCAGGATGTTAGTCACACAGAGGGAGGAGGAGGAGGCAGCGGCAGATGAACATCAGGCAGAAGGACAGAAGGAGAAGGAGGAGGAACTGGGAGGCGCAGCTCCAGCGGCTCAGCGGACAGGAAACCAGTAAAAAGGTGAGAATGAAGCTCAGCTGCTCAGACGGCGAGAGCCGCTCAGAGAGGAGGAGGAGGAGGTGGAGGAGGAAGAGGAGCGATGGGGTGAGTTATGTAACCAGGACATCCTGATCCATTCAGAACCAAAGACCGGATTCTGATCCGAACCGAACCGGTTCGGTTCTGCTGGATTTGATGCTTTCTGTCGCGTTTTCTGGTTTCTGACGCAGAACCAGATGCGCGTTCCCGCGTTCCAGATGCGGCCTCCATGAAAGCATGCGGGCTCCCGACACGGTCACTGTCACGGAGGGAGGGGGGGGGTTGACAGCTGCCTAGGGATCAAAGACAGTTCTAGGATGAGGATGAGGAGGAGGATGAAGGTGGTCACGTTCAGTCGATCTCCTGTCGGTGCTTCTGCGCATGCGCAGAGCAGGATGTTATGCGTTTCTGTATTTTGTTGCTCTGGTTCTACTGGATCCGCCTTTGGTCTCCGGTTCTGCTCTGGAACTTCTGGTCCAGTTGGTCCTGGTCTGCGCCTGGTCTGGTCCTGGTCTGCGCCTGGTCTGGTCCTGGATCCTCTCAGTCAGTCCAGGTTCTGGATCAATGCAGACCAGGCCTGGACCTTCAGGCTGCTCCACCAGATATAACCGCAGAAGATGTTCTGCTGGTTCTCTGCTGGACGAAGGATCCAGGGAGGTCCAGATCCAGAGAAGGTCATGGTTCCAGATCCACTGAACATCCTCAGGGTTCTGCTGGAGTTCTACCATCTACTGCAGACATTCTGAGGAACCGCCTCCCTGTTGGATCATTGTTTGACCCAAAGTTTAGCTAAAACCGTCCAGGTTCTGCTCCAGCAGCGAAAACCCAGAAGTTTCTAAAGAGGGCCTGAGCAGGGGCGGAGCTAAAGGGGGGGCAGGGGTGGCCATGGCCCCCCTCAGCCAATTATTGACCAGCTATATGACTCACTTCATGAAAAATGGTTCTGGTCTAAAGCAGAGGCAGAGAAGCAGCGGAGGTGGACCTTCTGGACCTTGTTGACCTTGTGGAGACCTGCTGGTCTGGACCTCAGGAAGCAGGAGGGTTAGGGTTCCGGCTGCAGCTCTCAGACCCGCTCTGACTTCAGGTTCTGTTGTGTTTCTGTGTTTCAGTGAGTCTCAGTCGAGGTCAGTGATGCTGCACCATCAGGACCAACATGTGAACTCGGCCTACAGAGGCGGCAACAGGAACAAAGACAGCAACTTCAACTTCCTGCCAGGCGGCAACCATGAAAGCTTCGCAGAGACCAGGAGGGGAGCAGATGAGAACCGGAACCAGGGCCGCCCCCGGAACCTGACCTTGGGCCGCGACCCCCACGCTTCGCCTACCTCCAGCTTCCAGCAGAACCCTGGCCTCATGTCGCCGCGCTCCCGCCTGCCCTGCTGGAGCCCCCTGGAGCCCCTCCCTGAAATCGAGACGGGAGACGACGGGTACGGCCGGGTTCCACCTGACGGAGCGGAGGAATGGAGGGTGGAGGACGAGGGGGGGATGATGACCATGTTTGATGAGAGGAAGGTGCGTCAGAGGAAGGAGGAAGGAACCGACGACCTGGATGACGAATGGGGAGATACCGCCTCGGAGTCGGAGTTCAGCTCTCGCTCCGGCGGCAGCGTCTCCTCCCTGAATATGGAGAATGGGGGGGAGGCGGCGCTCCTGGGGGGGTTGGACCGGGTGGGAGTGGGAGAGCCAAAACCAGGCAGGCCTGAAGCCGGGCCGACCAGAACCAGCAGAGGAGCAGCTGTGAGGAAGAGGAGCTTCGGCCACAAGTCGCTGACCCAAAGCGGACTGGGCGACCTGCAGGAGGAGCGTCACCATGACGACAACCAATCCTCTGACTCTGACCGTGAGCTGCCGGAGCTGATGGACGCCGTGTGGACTCTACGGGACCGGGAACGCTTCAAGGCGCAGGAGATGGAGAAGCACCAGGTGCAGCTGACCATGTACCGCCGCCTGGCGCTGATCCGCTGGGTCCGCACGCTGCAGGGGCGGGTCCAAGAGCAGCAGAACCGCCTGCAGTCCAGCTTTGACGTCATCCTGACCCACAGGAAGGAGCTGCTGCGGATGGGAGCCGCTACTTCTGTCGCCACAGTCGGCCAATCATAAGGAGCCCTGCTGTGTGATGTCACAGAGTCCGTGTCTATTCCTGTTTTGAAATTTAACGAGTTAAACTCGACTTTCTGTCTCTGTGATTGTTCTTTATTCAAAGCTGAACCTGAAACCATTAATGTGACAGCACTGTGAGCATGGAGGACGTTACCATGACGACACAAAGACGTCACCGCGAAGACACAAAGACGTAACCGTGACGACATAGTACCACACCACGACGACGCAAAGACGTCACCACGAAGACACAAAGACCTAACCGTGACGACACAAAGACGTCACTGCCAAGACACAAAGACGTCACCGTGACGACACAAAGACGTCACCGTGACGACACAAAGACGTCACCGCCAAGACACAAAGACGTCACCGTGACGACACAAAGACGTCATCGTGACGACACAAAGACGTCACTGCCAAGTCAGAAAGGCGTAACCGTGACGACACAAAGAGACGACACAAAGACGTAACCGCGACGACACAAAGAGGTAACCGCGACGACACAGAGCCATCACCAATAACGACACAAAGAGGTAACCGCGACGACACAGAGCCATCACCAATAACGACACAAAGAAGTCACCGTGACAACACTGAAATGTCACCATGACGACATGGAGATGTCATCTTGGCAACACTGAGACGTCACAGTCATGACCATGGTAAAAGCAACACAGGAATGTTACCATGACAACAAAGGGCAACGCTGGGACGATACCATCCTGATACTAGACCATGATGATGCCGTATGGATACCATGACAACACTGTGACCTTGACAAGAGTGTTGCTATGGTGACAACATCAGCGCTTTAGCATGACATTGAATCAACTGTTCGGTTTGTCTTTAATCCGGAGCATATTTAACGATCTTTGAAATATTATCGCAGAATAAAGTGAAAAACAGAACTTTGTGTTTGAGAGTTTTTATCTGATCTGGTTCAGAACCGACTGAGAACAACATGTTATTTTTATTCCTGCTCCTGCAGCGATCTCTGCTCTAACAATGGCTGCTGTTGTGTGTCTGTTCGTCACACGGCCGGTTGTGTGTCCGTGTGACATGCGTGTGAGACGCTGCAGCCGCAGGCGACCAGGAGTCAAGCTGCAGCGCCTCTCTGTTATCTCCATCCTGGGGGGGGGGTACCGGGGCCCTGGGGACCCTGTCAGTCTGCAGCACCCAGGGCCCCCGGAGGTCTGATATGGCTGAGTGCCGGAGCGAGGCCCCAGAGCGCCAGTTGGCATAATCCCTGCTCCTCCCGCTGCTGGCCCCGGGGCCTTTCTGAGGATTATTGCAGACGCCGTTCTCAGCCTGACGGTCAGAATGGATTCCCATCCTGAAGGTGGAGGTTCAGGAGGCATCAGGCTGAAACATGTTTACACCAACCAAAGGAGGGGGCGGAGGGGCCCCTGGCCCCACAGATCAGATTTAAAGGAAGTCAGTCAGTAAAAAATCAACCAGCAGAGTTTTACTCTGATTATCGACCAATAATCAGGAAAAAACATCAATCATTCAACCAAAAGGCCATAAAATCTAAAATGATCAAATTTGTTGGGAAGATAAAAACAACTATTGTTTGATTTAAGGTCAAAAACAAACTGTTCCTGGAAGATATTAAAATCTTTCTTTAGAAAAATGAAAGACTTAAAGGACAAACAGCTTCAGGGTTCCATGAATAAATGGAGAAAGAGGTAAAAAAAATCCATTTATTCATTAATTAATGAATAAATTGAATTTTTCTGCCATTAAACACGGAAACCTTCATTATTCTTCTTATTTGGGATTTTATTTTTAGTTCCGTAAGAATTAAAAACGAATATATCTATAAAGAAAAGAAAAATAACTAAATGCAATAAACATCCTACTGGAGCAGCAGGTCCAACAGTTGCTCAGAGGCACGTCAGCAGGACACATTAGAAAAAGAACTGCTTCGGTTTCAGGTTCTAAACCAAAAGCAGAAGAAGAAAAGCTGAGAACCAGCAGTCCAAGGTTCTTACAGAACTTTATGGACCTGAACCTCTAAACTAGAAAGACTCCTCCTCTTCATCAGCTTCAGCAGCTCTGAGAAGAAACATCTTCATCTACGCCTTTTCCAGAAAAGCTGCGGTTGATGCTCAGTCCAGATGATTTAAAATCATCTACAGATGTTTCAGCTCCTCCATGAAGTTTCCTCCAGAGATGCTCCAAAGTGTTTGAAGTTTGTTCTGAAGGGATTTTCCAGGTTTTTATCAGATAGAAATCTGGTTGATTTATCAGCAGAAGGTTTTCCCTCCTGAGACTCATGAAGATCAGCAGTTGGTGAAGACCTGGATCAGGTCCAAGGATCTCAGCTCCACCTGGAACCTGCCTCTCTGGTCCAGCAGCAGGTCAGATCATCACCTGCTGACGTGTTGCCTGCAGGGGGCGCTGTTAGATGAGTCTATTCTGAGCTGCCTGCCTGCAGCTACACTGCAGTCTGCACACACCTGAGCTCCACCAGGGGGCGACACTGCATCACAGAGCAGATTAGGCCAGAAAACCTGAAGGAAGAAGCTGCAAATCAACATTTTAATTACAATAAAACATTGAATTCATTCAAAACAAAATAACAGTTTTAACTATTTCTTTTTTAGATATAAAATATCATCTCTGTTCAGGCATCAAACTGGTCATAATTATTATTATTATTATTATTAGATCTGTGCAACCAGCATCAGAACTTTTTAAAATGTTCTAATGATCCGGAGAACAGAAATGAAACGAAATAAAAACACCTTCAGGGGTTAACTGTGAATAGGTCAAAGGTCAGTCCTGCTGTGTGCTGGATGCCACAGCAGGGGGCGACACTGAGGGCAGGGGACACAATCCAGGCCTGCAAAATGGAAACAAAGGACATTTTGGTCTGGATTAGTTCTGGTTTAGGTCTGGATTAGGGCTAGTTTGGTTCCGGTTTAGGTCTGGTTAAGTTCCGGTTTAGGTCTGGGTTAGTTCTGGTTTAGGTCTGGATTAGGGCTAGTTTGGTTCCGGTTTGGGTCTGGTTTAGTTCCGGTTTAGGTCTGGGTTAGTTCTGGTTTAGGCCTGGATTAGGGCTATTTTAGTTCCGGTTTAGGTCTGGGTTAGTTCTGGTTTAGGTCTGGATTGGGTTACTTTAGTTCTGGATTAGGTCTGGGTTAGTTCTGGTTTAGGTCTGGATTGGGTCTGGGTTAGTTCTGGTTTAAGTCTGGTTTAGGTCTGGATTAAAAGGTAGAAATGTTAAACATTTATAATGAGGCATTTTCAAGAACTGAAGAAACTGAGACCGTTTGCATTGAAAAAGGCCCAGGAACCATGGGCCTCCAGAGAGCTGGAACCAGAACCAGCTGCTGGGGGGCTACTGGATCAGAGCAGCAGGGAAGGTTCTGGAAGAACCGGAAGATCCAAATCAGGCTCCAAAAAGGTCCACTGCCTCTCAGAACCAGACCAGATCGGCTCCATGTGTGAAAGTTTGAACACCTCTGCTGCAGTTCAGCTGCTGTTCAAACACAGAGCCTCCTTCTCCTCCTCCTCCTCCTCCTCCACTAGCTGATGTAGTGTGACAGTGTGGAGGCCCGCGGCGCTCTGTTGGCGTAGAAACAATCAGCTCCGACAGAAAGGGGTGGCTGAGGGGGGAGGAAGAGAGAGGGAGGAGGGTGGAGTGGAGGCTGTGGCCCCGGGGCCCCAGGATGATGAAGAGCCACCAACCAATGATAGATAGATAGATAGATAGATAGATAGATAGATAGATAGATAGATAGATAGATAGATAGATAGATGATAGATAGATCTAGTAAAACATTTTGGTGGAGAGGTTTAGGTTCCTGGTTTTATTCTGGATTCGGACTCTGATGATGGAGTCACACCTGCTCAGAGTCTGCAGGTGAGCTCAGTGTATGGAAGCCCTAAAGGCCCAAGACTTGTTCTCTCTCACTTCCTGCTTGTAATGAATAGTTTGATCCTTCAGCTGCCTTCAATCTCCTCCTTTATTTTATCTTTTTTTTTTTTTTTTATCTTTATTATCTCGTGTAGTTGGATGTATATATATATATATATATAAAACTGTAAGTGGAGCGTGTAACAAAAGTAATTTCTCTCTGGGATTATTAAAGTATTTCTTATTCTGATTTAAAAAGAAAATAATTCTCTAATGAAACTCTGATCAAAAACAGAAACAAAATCTGAACAAATAAATCTAAATTTCTACTGAATAACTTCTTTGATCTTTATATTAATTAATCTTTGCATAATCAGTTTATATGCAATTAATTTACAGAAGAAACTATTTTAATATGTTTTTATAATTAAATTATTATTATAAATTTTTTTAGAAAAAGATATTTAATTAAATATAAAACACTGCATATATTTAAAATATATTTGTTTAAATCTACATAAAGATGCTTTAGTTATAAATCTGTGGATTTAAAGCAGCAGTTTATGGTTCCTAAATTATCATTATTATCTTTTATTTAATTTATTAGATTCTTAAAATATTCAGATTAATAAACAAACAGCTGAAAAACGACGTTTATTCTAACAGAGAAATCAGGACGATTCTTATTTAACTTTAGTTGCTTCTGCTGGTTTAATTTAAAATTTAACTTCAATAAAAGTGAATTTGAGTTTTTCCAGATTCTTAGACTTTTAATAAATCAGAGAAAATGTGCCGTTAGTTTTTCCTCAGAGGAAGCAGGACCTGTTGGGAAGCCGCGGGTCAGAGGTGGAGCCGTGTCTGATTCCAGGACTGAAGCTGGGAGTGTTCGGGGGGGGGTGCTTCAGCTGCCTCGGCTGCTTTAACCAGCTAATAAATATGAAACCAGCAGGTTAAACTGGCCCCTGAATGAAACCAGCAGGTTAAACTGGCCCCTGAAAGGATTATCTCCGTCTATAGAGTGCCGTGAAAATCCTGCCACCTCATAAAGGCGCATGTTGGCCCATAAAACTGCTGGGAACAAAGCAGGAGAAAGAAAGCTTTTTCACGCATAAGAGGTTTTCTCAGGAGCTCATTGAGGGGGTCCTTAGCGGGGCCCCGCCCACAGATTATCTGGCTGGGATCGGCAGGTGCGTGTGCCGGGATCCGGGGGGTCCTGGGGGCCAGCTGCTCCGACCGGAGGGGGAGCTGCAGGTCTCTACCCTTCAGACGGGGTAAACGGCGACACGCTGGAACAAAAGTGAGGAGCGGACGGGGTCGACTGTGAGCCGTGAAATCGACGATTAAAGCGAGCAGCAGGAAGAACGCTGCGGATCAGATCTGTGGACGTTCCGGGTTCCGGGCGTTAAGTCGGCC